TGATATTTCAGCTCAATAGCACGATAACAGGACAGCTTCTGTTCGTGCTACTTTTGCGTGCTGCTTCTTAAACTGTTGATGTTCCTAGAAATATAAAAATGGTTATTTCGCGACTGTAAATCCACGAAAGCAAGGCCTTGCATATTCATCCATCGTTTGTTTGTTTAATTTGTTTGTTTGTTTATTTATTTGTTTGTTGCCCGGAGACCCGCGGTGTCCAGTGCTGATTGTCCAAACGCAATTCTTGTTTGACCTTTGAACCAAGAACTGCGCTGGACATCAGCAATTGACGCTGCCTACTCGACGCCCGGGATTGTTTTTGTTTGTTTGTTTTTTTGTTGTTTGTTTATATTTTGTATTCATTGCTATATGTTCTGTTTGTGTAATTTTCGTTTACGTAATTTTTAGATTTTTCTTTGTTGCTATTTCAATTTTCAATGAATTATCAGACTACAATGGGTCGCTTGAAACATACTAGTAGTAAATTAATTGGCCAAATATACGGAACAATATGCTATACAAATTAGCAGACCATAGGTTTACCATACATGGGTTTCACGTTGTAATTCTATTTCAGGCTAAATTTCTAGTTCTCTGGAATATCATACAGTCCATCTGGCCAATTTCTACAAATTTTGTAGTAAACCATTAGAGACTGATACTAGTGCCAGAGACGGAGTGCCAATGACTCCAGTACATCAGGATCCCCCATGCAGACCCTCATAACCGGCAGTTTCTCCCCAGGCGGAAAATGAAGCTGCGCCAGTGCCTGGTTCTGACGTCACGGTTCTGCTCCGGTTCACCCGGAGTCATTAACCTTTGACCGTTATTACGGGCTGGAGGCGGGAATCTCAGGTTCTGGATGGATCAATCTAGAAAATGTCACCTTGAGTTCTTCTGTGGTACACATTTGTTATTAATGTATATTGATGAAGACTTCTGCACCAATGATGTAAAACCGGGGTGGGGTGGATTTTGCTTGTTTTTGTGTATGTGTGTGTGTGTGTGTGTGCGTGCGTGCGTGCGTGTGTGTGTGTGCGTATGTGTGTGAGAGTGTGTGTGTGTGTGTCTATGTGTCTATCTGTGTGTGTGCATGCGTGAGCCTGTATGTGTGTGTGAGGGTATGTGCGTACGTGTTTGCTTGTGTTACAGTGTTACATGTATGAGTCTGTGTGTCTTTGTGCGTGTGGAGACTCTTTGACAGGTTTCCAAACGATAGACTTCAGAAAAGCCGTTACAGAAGCCTGAGAGAAGCCTGGAGCGGAGACTAAGGTGACATTATGCCGCAAACAGCGGAGCGTGCAGCCGGCCATCTGTCGCTGTTTCACGGGGTTTAAAACTTAAGTCCTTATATCTTTTATCGATAGGCACGATTCGGGATACCAAAATCGACAGTCCTGTGCTGTTGGGGTGCTTTCTACGATGTACTTCGTCCTGTTATTGTGTCGTTATCGTTCTATTCTGGTACCATGGGAGGCATTTTATCAAGATTTTTGTCCATACCTTAAATTCCTGATTAAAATACGCGCCCCCGATTCTGATTGTTCAGTCTGATATTATTAAGTTATTGACAATATTGTAGAAATGATGACAGATTTCGGTTGCATTCTTGCTAAACCGTTACTTGGAAATAAAAGAATGTGAGCACTTGGATATATCTGGTTTTGTTTGTTTTCTTTTTCACATCATTTTGCATGTTTCCATCTCTTACTGCAATGAAATAATCAGGACTAGAGGCGAGGCCTGTCAACACTTTGATAATCTCCAAGCAGATTTTGGGTGGGAAAACGTTTTCTGGCTGTCATGTCAATCATCTTGTGTGTCACAAAAAGGTCACCATTTTCCCGCCAAACATCTGCTTGGAGATTACCAACCCTTGAGGTCGCGCGTTCCAGTCAGGACGGACAGCGTCGCTAGGCAACCAACAGGACCCAGGGTGCACCGGGCAGCGTCGCTAGGCAACGCCCATGGTGCATCGCCAGGGCAGCGATGAATATACCGGGGCCTGCCCGTTAACTATGTTATAAGAGGAGGGCATTTACCAGGGATGGTGCACTTGTCGGGTGGAGGGGTGGTAATACCTTGCCTATAGCAACAAGTGTGAGTAACACCCTCTGGTGCTTCAAATGGGAACGACAATTGCACTGGATCGGTATACATTTTTAAAATACATGCACTAATGCATTCTGTCACAGAAGAGCACAGAGGTAAACATTAGGTTTGCAACTAGACAACAGAAATGCTTTTGGCAATAGCAGCCAAATATGACTCACAAGGAAGAACGAGAAGGTTTCCTTCAGTTGATTCCATATAGTATAATTATATAGCTGAATCTACACCTATTTCAGTACCAAGGACAGGACCACACTAAAAGTAAGTAAAAATTGTCATTTTGTCTAAATGTCACAACCAAACACAATTGGTAGCGAGTTGAAAGAGACAGCCTCCGTAGCAGGCTTATAGAACTGGGGTTTGGTGGTCATCAGCTGTTTTCTGATTTGCCCAGTTCTAAAAAACAGTGGATAATTCAACCAGGCCGGCTATGTTGTCTATATGCAATCAGAAAATAGCACATAAAAGCTCCCAAAGACCCTGAAGACCCCGCCCCCAAACCCCCAGTTTTGGGCATGCTATGGAGGCTATGAAAGAGAGTCCATCGCACACACGGGACTGTTTACACATGTTTATTACTGACTACACACACGGACAGGAGCGGCGGCAGTTCACATTAGATACACCAGAGGGCGCTGCGTGCAGTGAAACCTGTACCACTTGGAGCTGTCTTGGAAAAATCCATGATGACACAGGAGACACCCTAATGCCGTCTATGTACCCACAATGCTGAGCAAGTACCCACAATGCCGTGCACGTACCCACAATGCCGAGCACGTACCCACAATGCCGTGCAAGTACCCACAATGCCGTGCATCTACCCACAATACACCGCAGTGCAAGTAGAAGTACATGTGTATTGCTAAACACTGATGTTGAAGATCACACACTATAATCTTGACAGAACGTCTTGTAGCAAGCTTAGACAATTATGCAGATACTTGAGGAATTAGCGATTTTCTTGTCTCTACAGAAGGAGGTTTTGATGCAGCCCATCCTCCAGTCTTACATACAGATATTCTTCTCTTTCCACATATAAAACGTTTCCTCTACATCTGCCAAGTGGATACAGCACAGGTTTGATCCGTACAGTGATCATCAGCTGCATGTTAGTTACACCTCCTCACATCTGCACAGAATCACAGAAAACAACACCACAGACGGTTTGACACACAGCATCTTTCTACTTCCACAAACTACTGATAACAACAACACTACAGCAGCCTAAAGCTGGATATATACATGGAAGTAATCTGGTTTCAAACACTAAAACTAAAATAAAGAAATCAACAGAAGAAACCAAAATACTGGCAAATATTGCTCTCCAACTCTCAGCCCAGGTTCCTGCTATATTCCCCTCATTGTTGACATGTAGTAACTTCAACATTTCAACTCATCTGATTATTGAGTGCTATGAGTCTGTGTTAAAGTTACCATCATGTTTTCTTTCACATCTGGACCAAGCTGAGTTCTTATTAAATCACAATCAATTTCTATACAAAGGAAAGAATTCAAATCTCAAAGAATGTAATGTACAACAACAACAACAATTCTGAACCTTGCCGCCTATCTTTTCTGCTGTATTGGTGAGGAAACATACACAGATACAATCCACATTAACTACACATGAACACAACAACTTTTAAATTGACTCTCAAACATTACTCTGCTCTGTGAAGGCTACAGTTACAAATACAAAGCTTATGACAGGGCCACCTCAATGCAATGTCATGATTGTTGGATATTCTAACAAAAAGATCTGCAAAGATTTGGTGTACAATTTTTACGTTAAACTATAAGAATTTCTTTTTACAAATAAGGGAAACCAAAATGTACAAATAAACCACATAAAAACTTGTGAAACTTCTTTAAAACTGTTCCACTGTCCAACAAAATGGCCAAGAACCAGACAACATAATTGGTGTGGCCCAAGTACAATACATTTTTGAGAAAGAGACGTATATATCTTGGCTACTAGATAAGTGTACTTGATATACAACACGTAACATCTTACATATATTTCCTCTGTATTGCTATTGAAGGGCAGGGTTCTCCCCACATATAAACTCTCTCACACTCACAGTTTAACTACCACAGGTCAGAATGCACCAGGTCATGTCTGTTAGCTTAACAGATACATACACTTCTTCTCAGTTCTGCTGGATTTAGATGATGAAATACAGAATTTCTCCATAAATTGAAGGGACGTGTAGAAAAAAAAATGCTTCAGAAATTTGGAATGTACAGCATCATCTAGTTTCTTCAATCCATCGAAAAAAATTAACATATATATGGAAATGTGGTTCCATATATAGACAGGTGGTACCATATATGGATGCATACCAAATATTGATATATTGCCATATATGGACAATACTACCATATATGGACACTATTACCAGACAGGGACATCATTACCATATATGGACATTATTTCCATATATAGACATCATTACCATATATAGACATCATTACCATATATAGACATCATTACCATATATAGACATCATTACCATATATGGACATTATTACCATGTATTTAAGGGGGGACAAGACATTTTTAGAAGGACTTCTACAGCACCCTTTCAGTTATGATATGTTCACACCTACACGACTTTACACACAAACAATCTGCAAAAATCTAAACAAGTTCACAATGTACAGGATAGCTTCTGCTACACAAATTTCTTCCTCAGTTCTCAGGAAAGATAAGAATTCACAAGCTGTTCCTTACATGACAGAGGTGTTTTTAAACAGTCTTATGTTCTTTAATCCTTACTGTCAATAGCTGAGAACCAAGGAAATAATTTTGTGCAGCCCAACAAACATTTCCAGTCAAATTTTGTCCTTAGAGTCTACTTTTCAACAATCACACCAGATCTGCTTTAGGCTACCTACAATGATTGGTTAAAGTTAACTCCTTTTTTTTTATCTCTGTTTTACATTTTCATGTTATAATTAATGCAAACATTGATCAAGATCAGAACTGTACAAATAAATAAATACAAGATGATCAATGAAATTAGCTCAAATCAATGTCTCTAATCTATATATACTCGTACTTCACAGTGTGCTTTATATATATGTAACTTGCTTCTTATTTCTTTATGTTAGAACACATATGAGCATGCATAGAACATAGCGATTGTGGATTTATTTATCTATTTTCATTTTTTATTCTTTTCTTCCTACTTTTCTACTGTTTTCTGCTGCGATTATAATTATTTTCATCTTGGATAATTCAAGTTGAAACCATCTAAACTGTCGATCAAATGTTACCACAAACCAGACGAATATGTCATCTTCCCTCTGATTGGTTGTCATTCAGACAGCTGGTACTCTTGATTGGTTATCAGCATATGCAAGCAAGCATTTGATTGGCTGGCTACCCCATGTTAGTGGACACAAGCTGAGCTCTGATTGGTTAGTCAATTCCCTTCGGTGATTGGCTAGTCCATTCTGTCTTGCCCGTCTTGGGGGCCATCTTGGGGAACAAGGTCGGCAAGGTCGTTCAGAAAACCTTCGGGAGTCAAAAGGTGGGTGGAACCTAGAAATATGAAAATTGTGGTTTATTAACATGAATAAATCATACACTACATCAACTAATGTGCCAAAAAACAGTTACTCAAGCAACTGGACATGATTTTTTAAATCATATCCAGTTGCTTGAGTAACTGTGTTTTGGCGTATCGTATTACCTGGATGTCTAACCTTCACCAATGTACATCAACTCTTATCTAAGAGACTGTTCCAAATCTTTGTGGAGGAGGGGGCAGCTACTCTTTGTCAGGATTTTTTGTCCTTACAGTTATGCTTGAAAGTTGCAACATTTACGTTCTGCCCACCACTCAAAAACTTGGAACAGCCCTAGCTCCTCTTTTCAAAGTTACCAACCAGCCTGAATTTAGTAAAACAAATCAACTTGTTTAGTAGCAAAATGAAATCTGAGAGAAAAACAACAGGCAAATTATAAAATGAAACCGTCTAAAAGAAAAAAAAGCAGCACTGTACACAAATTTAGTCTTCAACCTTTGCAACAAACAAGGTAACCAGACAATAGAAAAATCATGCGACTTACAAGTCAAACAAAATGAAAGGGAAGAAAATGTGGAGAAATCAGGAGGTTTTCTCGAGCTCAGCGAGATCGTTCAAGAACCCTGACGGAGTGAGGATGTGAGTTCCACCTGTGCAGGACCAGCAAAATTACACAAAAAACAACCAAAATCAGTAAGGCAATCTCACAAGCAAATGAAATAAAGCAATTTTAATAAAAATCAAGCATGTCAAAGTTAGTTCAAACTTGAGTATTGTATTTTTAGTACTATTACAGTAACTGTAAAATGTTTGTAAAAAAACTCAGCAAAACGAAACCAAACAAAGCAACAGAAATCAGTCAGGCAATCTCAGAAGCAAATACAATACAAAATGGTCAAAAACAGTCATGTTAAAGTTATGTTAATTAAGTGCTCTCTAAGCAGAGGATGGCATGTTTCGGGGAAAAAAACATCCAAAAACAAGCCCAACTTCTTCTTGTAGAGCAAAACTTGAGATGTTATGCATTTTTAGTACTACAGTATATTACTGTTTGAAGAAAATAAAGTTTCTTTACCACAGAAAGCCAGATTAGTACCAAAAAAAATGGCGACACAGCAAAACAGCAATGCAAATGTGACCTCTGCCCTAGCAGCAAAGGATGCTGGGACAGGGCTATAAATACTGACCAATGATGACGTCCCACTTCTGTCCGGTTTCCTTGGTAACCTCGTAAGCGCAGCGCATCTCGGAGTAGGTGGTGCCGCCCATGATGAAGATGATGAGACGGGGAACGGAGCGGTCGGCTGGACCCTTGTCCTTGTGCCAGTGGCCGTAACGCGCGCTGGGAAGGTAGAGGAGAAACATCAACTTTAGTACTACACGTTAATGATAACTACATAGTAAAACACTCCTTATAGCCTATCAGAACTACACCCTAATCATAACTATGTGCTACTAGTTAGATCTTAGATCATAGGATATTAAGAACATTTAGGTTCTCAGCAGCAAAGTGTCAGGGGTTACAGGGTGAGTGTCTGGGGTCAGAGGTTAAGGGTAAAAGGATAGAGATTATAACATTATTAGCAAAGTTGACAATGGACTGAACCTGCCAGTCATGGTCAGGGGATAGAGGTTAAGGGTGAGAGGTTGAGGATCAAAGGTGAGAGGTTAAGACCTTACCTTCTGGCCCCGGAGGAAGCAAATCCGGCGGTGGTGGACCTGCCAGTCAGGAAGGGGAAGTACTTCTGGTCCAGCTTATCATCAATCGCATCCTGGGAGATACACAAACACAGGCACAGGGTTATACAACACAGACATGTCACACACAATCTTCTGTCATCCAGAAAAGAAATCTTTGTCATCCAATAATTTTAGCATCTATTGTAGGATAGAGGCAGTATAGTGCAGACATGCATTTTCGTAACCTAGACCTAGCAACAATAACCATAGCAACCTAGCAACAGTAACCATAGCAACCTAGCAACAGTAACCATGGCAACCTAGCAACAGTAACCATAGCAACCTAGCAACAGTAACCATGGCAACCTAACAGTAACCATAGTGACTATAACCATAGCAACACTAACAGTAACCATACCAACAGTAACCATGGGAACAGTGGTTACCTCCATGATGTCCTTGATGACGGGAGTCCAGCGTGAGAGCTGGTACGTCTGCTGCGTGATGCGGTCCTTACGCTCCACCTTGCCCTTACGTCGGCCAGTCTGACACAGGGAGGAAACAAACAAACACAGGTAAACAACAACAACAAACATGTCACAGACGTCACACGGTCCAACTGTGACAGGCTGTGACTATATAGTTTTCACTAGAACCTAAAACATGGGACAGTACAGATTTTCAGACAGTTACATGTAACCAAAAGTCACTACAGCAAGGGTCCTATCTGTTGTGAGCACAAGACACAGACATAAACTGTAAGATTTCATATCTAAATGTAGTCCATACTACAGATACATGCATCCTACATCAGTCTAGTAACAGGTGTGCACTCTTCAACCTCCTCCCTGCTGCCTAACCCCGTAACCAGTACAAATTTGGTGCCATAACTGCTTCCTTAGCATGCTGATGGTTGAACCTTACCTGGGTACATGCATGCACAGTAAAAACCAAGAACTAGCTTACACAAGTAAACAGTTATTCTAGCAACTGAATATTTATTTCAAAAGTTGCTCGAGTAACTGTTTTCTTTTGCATATCATTACCTGGATATCTTACTTTCATGGACACTACATGCAGCTTATACATGTACATCTACTAATGACATGTATTCCTGCTACTTGTATACATATCATTATATATACATTTGTACTACTTCTCTATCACACTAGGCACACCACAACACAACACAGCACTGCACAGCAATGTGAAGTTAGAGCTATGGGGAAAGGTGGGGACAGGATTCAACACTGCATGCTGCACACCCCTCTGTATGAGTGGATCAGTCTGAAACAATCAACACCTAGCATCCTAGCATCCAAAATCTAGCATGTGGGCTTTCTCATTACATTAGGAGGGGTAGAAAGCAGTTTGAGTCCTGCAATCGGTTTCCTAAAAAGTGTTATGGCACAATTTTTCCTCCTTTGATTGCAGATAAAATTTTTAAGATGACACCCCCACAAGTACGTGGTTGTGTCCAATATTGCCCATCAGTGTTGCTTGGTGTCAGACTGTACCATTGCAGTGCAAGGGGTGTTGTTAGGTGAGTGGGAGGGACAGAGAGCTTACCATCATGCGCAGTCCGGGTAGAATGTAGGGTGTTATGGGGTTCCAACCCTCGGGACCGCCGGCAAACTTAGCCTAGAGACCCACGCCCCACCCCGCAGCAAAAAAGGGAAGGGAGACAGAGACAGCACAGGTTAGTAGAGAACACGGCAAACTGGCAGGGTCTCTCAGCGCTGTTTTAGTACAGCAAACCTCAGGGTATCTCACCGCTGTTTTAGTACAGGGTGTCTCACCGCTGTTTTAGTACAGGGCACAGCAATGCAAGTTTTAGTGGGGAGGAAGGGCCTCTTACCACTCACACCTGTTTTAGTACAGGGAACAGCACTGACTTAAAGAACACAGCAATGCATCGCAAACCTTTGGAGAAACACAGGATTTCTCCCCACTGTGGAGTGGGACTGATTATCTGTGAGTGTGGGCTACATGTACATGTACACATGTAGTACAGGGTGTAACACAGCAATACACTGCAACCTACATGTAGGTCCTTCCCCAATGTGGAGCTGAGTGTGGGTTCTAGTTAGTTATGAACACAGCAAATCACAGCAAACTGGGTTTCTTCTCACTCTGGGAAACACTGTTTCGGTCAGAAAAAAACATGTTTCCATGCCAACGTACCTTCCCCAGGATACCTTTGTTCATGAACGATGTGAACTGTCCACAAAAATAAAAAACAAAAAGACGAAAATGTGAGGCGTGTATGCAAAACATAAATTTGCATGATAATAAAGTAAATATGAAAATTAATTTTGCCAGATTGAGATTAAGTGCAAATTAATGAGCTCATTTGAATAACTTTCTAAAACCCCCAAGTGCTTAAAAAACGGAAAAAACAACAAAACGGAAAGTGACTTGCTACAAAATGTACGGTTATTTTGCTACAGTGATTTCTTTCTCTTGCTACAATGATTTTTCTCTCTTGCTACAGTGATTTTTTCTCTCTCAGATTTTGCCACGAACTTCCACATGCATCGTTAGCATGCATCACTGTGCTCTGTGGCTGGAGTTGGGGTGGGATTTGGTGAAACGAAGTGAGAACCAGGCAAACTGTGCTGTTTCTATAGCAACCAGGCATGCTAGTAGTACATATGTAGATCATACATGTAACATCACGTGTCTGAGACTGTGTGTGGTTGGGTGGGTGGTGACTTCCTGATTATGGCTGATACAGCAATACGTGATACAAAAAACAGTACAAGAAAAGTGTGCGTAGTAGTGAGTGGCTCGTGCACATGCAGGAAGGACACAAACACAGGCAGGCAACACAGAACATCACAGGGGGAGGTAACACAAGGATGTGCTTCTTGGGTTACCGTGGCAACTCTATGGTTACCATGGCAATGGGGTCACCATGGTAACAGGCGTGCATGCACCATCTAGCAGACTCGTGCCTTACCCATGCACAGGTCAGGTGCACGCTATGTTATACATGATGGAACATTCATGCTGTGTCCGTGGATCTAAAACTAAAAGTGGCAGAAATAACCACCATTTGGTGTTTGCATGTAATACATGCACAAAATACATGCAAACCTGTTCTCAATGTCATTGGTGATGAAAACATCTTAACCATGATTATAGCATCTGCATAACTGAAAGTTCCTGAATGTAGGCTCAATTTAATATATCAGTAATCCGCAATTGATGGCAATGCTTATTACTTCTAGTACTTATGCATACCAAAATGCACATGTACATGTTGACAGGGTAGCATTTGTAGATACCACTTCAATATATGTGCTTGAATTGTTCCCCCCCTATCAAACTTACATCCTGCAGAATGGACAGGCCCATGTACTGTAGTTATTACTTACATCCTGCAGAATGGACAGGCCCATGTACTGTAGTTATTACTTACATCCTGCAGAATGGACAGGCCCATGTACTGCATGTTGATGATGATGTGTTTCTCTTCTTCAGGGATCTGGGCGTGCTGGATCAGCTTGTTAAAGTTCTCCTCAGAGATACCTGCAGGGACATAGACCAACGGTCGCTCATAGGTCACTAATAGGTCACCCATAGGTCAAAGGTCACTTATAGGGCACCTTAGGTCACAAGAGACATGCTGGAGCAGCTTGTGAAACTTCTCAGAGATACCATTAGGGACACAGGTCATAGGTCACTCATAAATCATAGGTCATGGGTCATTTATAGGTCACTCAAAGGTCATCATAGGTTACAAGAGACATGCTGGATCAGCTTGTTGAAATTGTCAGAAAAGCTGAAGTCACACTTGTTACTATTTTAGCAATGATGTAGAGGAGGATGAAGGTTTTATGGATTCATTGATTATTCATCAATCAGTGCAGAGTTTTGCATACCGTTCTTGCCGATGATGTAGAGCAGGATGACGCGGATCTTGTCGTAAGTGGAGATGTTCTGGTCCAGCAGGATGGGGACTATGTTCCGCATGTGGTCCCGGATCTTCTCTCCCTCCGCATCCGTACCCATCGCCAGATCCTAAAGGCAGATCACAGGTCAGATCACAATTCCTAACCCCAACCCCAACCCTAACCCTCCTCCCCTCCGCATCCGTGCCCATCGCCAGATCCTGCACAGATCACAGCGGTGAGATCACAAACCCTAACCCTAACCCTTTTCCACATCCGTGCCCATCGCCAGATCCTAAAGGCAGATCACAGCAGGTCAGATCACAAAACCTAACCCTACCCTAAACCTAACCGTACCATAACCCAACCCTAACCTTAAATCCTACTCTACCCCTAGTCCTAACCCCAACCCTAAATTAATTAAGTAGTGCCACCTGGCAGCTGAGACCAGTACTGCAGTACTTACTTGTTCAACCCTGCAGAGTTTCTCCACGTTGCCAGAATAACTCTTCATGCAGTCCTCGGCCAGGGCCAGGTGCAGCGAGTACTGCAGAAATAAGGAAAAAGCAGCATCTTTAAGGTGTGTGCGACATCCAAGAACAATCTTCTTACAAGCATCTCTTAAGGTTGACCCTATTCTGAGACTTTTCACATACAATACATGAAATGTTGGCTTAAAATAGAGTAATATTTGTGTGTATTTGTGATAGGAGTTTTACATTTCTGAGTTCTGTGTGCGTGTGTGTGTGTGAGTGTGTGCGTGCGTGTGTGTGTATAAGAGAGGAGTTTTACATTTCTGAGTTCCTTCTGGTACTGTGGCATGCGTTTGAGCATCTGGGACAGGTCCTTCATGGTGGTCTTTTCTCCGCCCTTCACTCGCTTCTCCGTCGCAAAATCCTTCAGCTTCTTTGTCACTTGTCTGGAAAATACAAAAAGAAAGACATCAGTCTATAACTAGAACCATTTTTAAGCAAAGGTAACATGGTGTAGCCTAACAAACTACTGATCTACATGTTCACTCAAACACATTCAAATATGTACATCATGACCAGCCCCTCCAACTCTGTCCTGCCAGTTGCTACATAATGTGACCCAACACCACAGGGTGTCTACTACTGCACCAAATACCAGGGTGGCAAGCATTCAGTACAGTATTGACCTTACTTATTTGGAATGGAAGAATGGAAGAAGAAACAGAGCAAAAACAATATGTTTTCTTATCTTGAAAGTTATCTTGGATGAAGTAAGAATCTTGGACAGAAACTTTTTGAGTCCAATTTTTGATGTGTTGGCAATCCCAGTTCAATCTAGCTTGATTGTTTTCTTTTTGCAAAGGTAAACAACAACAAACAAACAAACGACAGGTCCTTACGAGGACACGACAGCGATGTGCTGATGGCGGAACTCGACCCAGAGGTCGTCGTTTTCATCCAGCAGAGCGTCCTTCTCCACCATCTCACCCTGTGGGCCGCCCTTCGCCTCAAATCTGGAATCAGATCAATCAGATCAAAAATTCATCAATAATAGATCTATAAAAGTTGTTTAGAGTTCACGTCACACTTTAAAGAAGCCACGTGACAAGCCTCACTGGGTCAGTCTACTGAGGAAGACCAGAGTGGCTCAGCCGCTGGTCGAAAGCTGTACGTGAGAGAATTTTGTGTTGGATCTAAAGTTTTAACTCTAAACATGTAACACTACAGATGAACTTTCATGATCAATGTTCAATGATCAATCTATCACGAATGAATCAACAATCTGCAGCAGGTCATAGCAGATGGCCTGGTTGGTCAGCTGCCCCCCTCCACACTAACCATGCACTAACCCCATCTAGCAGGTGTCACTGGTACTGCAGTTACCTGTAGACGTCATTGTCGATCTGCAGCAGGTCGTAGCACATGGCCTGGTAGGTCAGCTCGTGCAGCAGGGGTGACACGGGGTCAAACCCTCGGTCCAGGATCAGCAACTGGGAGCGAGCTTTCTCAGGTCCCTGCAGGAGAAATATTAAACAAGGCGGTGTTTAAAAAATACTGTGGCGACATTGTCGTTTTTCTCATCTAGTAGCAGTGCATTCAAACTTGCCCAAGCGGGCACCTCTTGGATCAGCAACTGAGACTGAGATTTCTCTAGTCCCTAGGAAGGGAATGATACGTACTGGTGTGTAAAAACGGTTTTGTCTGCTTTGTTTTATCATTCTCATTCATTCTTTATTTCAGGTAAAAAACCCATATAACATGTACAATACATCATTAAAATAATACAAAAACACTACAGACATACAAGTAAAACAGGAAGAAACCTAAAAGCATAACAAATGGTAGGTCTTCCGAAAGAATGAATTCCTGTAGAAGGCATCGGAATGAATTAAGCGACAGATTGTTGCGTTATTGGAGGAAAATAACCTTTTTAGAAAAGAATAACAAATTCTCCTCCTCCTGGTTTCAAAAGTGTCAATATAGTTACAGACAAACATTTCACTCGCGCTGCAACGCCGAGGCAGATTCATTATGATTCTAAAACAATTATTATAAGCCACTCTGCACTTATACAAAACACCAGAGCTTACAGAGCTCCATAACTGGGCGCCATATAGCTGGGCGCAATACGTCATAAACAGGTGTCTCTTAACAGATGGAGAGCAACAGAAAAATTTGCGGTTGATACTGTTTGCACGACTATAAAGACTCTTCAGCATAGCAAGTACACAATCATCGTCACTTAATGTGGTATTTAGGTGTATACCCAAATAGACAAATGAGTTTACGTACTTCAGGTTGGTACCGTATAGACTTACAGGTGGCAACAGTTTTAGTTTATCTGTAATGTGTATGTAGCTTTCTTAGGTCCCTACAGAAGAAATACTGTATAATACATGGGCGAGCTTCTGAAAACAAGCTTTTGAATACAAAGATTTTGTTTCCTGTTCTCTTTTATTTCTTGTTCTTATCTCTATCATTTACAGTATTGAAAGGCTTAGAGAGCTATCTGGACCACATTTCTTGTATCAGGTTGTTGAGCGAACATTGGTAAGACAACAACAAACTCACGTCTCCCATGGTGGGGTCATCGGCCTTGTAGGCATCCAACTTCTGCTGAATCAGCTGGGACAGTTCTGGTAACTTGTCATAATCACTGGGGGGGGGGAGAGTAACTGTTAGAACAGCCATGGCAGGGGGAGATGATGACAGTTGGAACGGCCTGCTTAGTTCTGTTTCATCTAAATCAAACACATTCATGTATGGTGACCAGCCCCTCCAACTCTGTCCTGCTACTTGCTACATAATGTAACCTAACACCTCAGGATGTCTGCTACAGCACCAGTTACCATGGTGACAGCTGTCTGGTTCAGGTCATTGCCCTTACTTGTTTGGGATGGAACAACTGTTTTCCTTCTGCAATGTTAAACATAGTAAAACATACCAACATGGTGGACTAACTTGTAAAATGTAGCAGTAAGCTGTAGCTAACAGATGACAAAGTATCCAACCCACATTCTGTAGCGGATGGCAGGGTACTCCCCCAGTGTGGCGCAGAGTGTAGCGATCTGCTCGGCCACTCTCTCCAGACGAGACATCCTGTTGGGGGACGGGCGCGGGTTGTAGAACTCAGACGCACCGTCTCGAGTGTCCAGAGAGTACACCTGCCATGATCGGGAAGTAAATCAGCTGTTCATGCATTCAAAATGTTCTTGACACTTTAGACATCAAAGTAGAACTTTCTCTCTCATTGTCTGAGGTATCTATCCCTCAGTTTAATAATTATTGACCATTTTGGCACCACAGATGACCAGTAACAACGAGTCTAAGGTGAACATTGCATGATACAAAATAAATCTGAAGAATCTGGAAACACTACATTTCTCAAGAATTAAATGTTTCAGATAGCATATTTCTTCAGTAACTCATTAAGATACCACTTAGGTGAAACTTCAGACTTCTTCTTAGTCATTGATGAAAATGGTATCACATGACTTTTTCCTCTGCCTTTGAGAATTTTTTCCCAACCTATCCTGATATTTGTTCCATAATTCTGACACAATATCTGCACAGTCAATACTTCCTTAAAGAGCCTTGAACATTTTCTCAAAGCAAACCAAGTCTCGAACAGTGTCTTAAAGAAAACAGAGTCTTGAGCAGTTTCTCAAGAAAAACGTCTCGAGAGTCTTGACGAGGAAATCTTAACTCACACACCTGTTCCTCGTATGGCAGGAAAGCAATGTTAATTTCCTTGAGAGTCCGCAGGAACTTGGCCGCGGTGGACTTACACAGCTCATTAAACAGCTCGTCAGGGCAGGCTAACGAGGAGAGATAACGAGAGAGGGAAGAGAAGAGAAGACAGGCGGAGTTTAAAACGTAACGTTGTACAGACCTGCTGTTCGTAAGGACGGAAGGCCATGTTGATTTCTTTCAGGGTCAGGAGGAATTTGGCAAGGGGGTGCTTGGAGATTTGCTCAAACAACTTTTCTGGAAGGGCTGCAACGAACGGAAGACAAGAAACAAGGAAAAAAGGGATTACACACACACACGCATGAGACAATTGAAAAATTATAAATCATAGTCAAAGAAAAGGTGATATGATGTAAAAAAAATGTTGTGAGTACACCACACACCACAAGCTGGAGAAAATCATGATTTAAATACCAGCACGACAAACAACAGATATTGGACACTTTCTCTCCAAAAATAAATGGAAAACTAAAAGAGCAATTTTATCTCTACATAGCTTTTCTCCTCAAATTTGACCTAGCGCCCTACGTATTTCTGTTTATCAAATTGAGAGGTTGCAAGGCCAAGGTGTTTTTAACTTTTTACATGTAAAATGTTTTAGTGTTTTAAATGTGTCGTGCTCCATGCAAAATAAAGATGATGCTTAAAACTGCTAGGAACCTTCTCTAACGTGAAAACAATCCCTACATTTACAATAAACTGTTAGTGGTATGATCAATAGCAAACAGGTTCAAAACAAAAACACCAAAAAATTAATCAGGTTGGTAAAGGAATGAATATTAAAGTTCTTTTATTGACAACCATTCAATTCACACAAGCCAACATTTTGATGACCGTCTGTCACCTTCATCAGGGCTATAATGACAGGTTTACTGTGTATTGGAGCTAGGTGTTACTGTGTGCACTGTGAGTGGACCATGTAACACGTACACAGTAAACCTGCAAACCCATCATTGTAGTCCTGATGAAGATGACAGACATTCATCAAAACGTTGACTCATGTAAACGAATGGTTGTGAATAAAAATCTTTACTATTCAACAATAAAAGAAAAACATTCCTGAGTTTTGTGTACCTTCAGTGAAGAAGACATGAGCTGCCCGGTACATGGTGTTGTGGGCTGTGCCGAAATCCCTCATCAGCAAATTCACGGACTACAGGGGGGGGGAGGGAAGGGGGGAGGAAGAAGGGGAGGGGGAAGGGGAGAGGGGGTTGAAGAGAAAGGAGGGAGTGGGGAAGAAATCATGATTATCCACATACACATCACTGTAAAGATTAGCCAACACACTTTTCTGAGAAGCAAAATAACTTAAGACACCTGAAGTTACTCAATATCATATCATGTGTTAATGAAAAACAGGAATGAACATCATTAGAATTGCACAACAGGATCTGCATATCTCTTCTAGACTAAATTGTCACCACACAGGAGGTTTTTAGTTTTTTTTATAGTACCAACATCAAGTTGACAATCGAGTCAGACAAAGAACACTTGACTAAAAACTAGAACTAACAGAGAAGAGAATAAAGCAATGCTTTTGCCTTCTACAAGACTTAGTACAAGATGTAGCATTGCTTCTGGCTAGGATGTTAAACAGTTCTTAAAACCAAGAAGACAAGCCTGAGTAGGTTTGACTCCAGATCAACTCTAGTACTGCAGCATGGCTTAAGAGATCAGCAGCTGTTAGTGCCTTGAGGCCAAACCAGACAGAAGTACCTCCTCGGTGGGGGTGATTAGGTAGATGGCGTCCATCTTGGCGATCGGCTGCCGTCGTTTTTCCAAGTCCTCCACCACTGGGGGCGAAAACAACGGAACACCGCATGAAACAACACTCGGTTGCCATGGTAACGGTTGCTATGGTTACCTACCTTCTCGACGGGCGTGATGAGATAGATGGCGTCCATAGTCATCAGTGGCTCCCGTCTCTTGGTGATGTCCTCCACAACTAGAGAAGGTTAATCCATGGTTAATCATTAACTAGTCGCTAACTTATTAACCTGGACGGGCACCCACCAAGTCACCACAACACAGGAAACATGCAATTATTTCCTTCATTACTAAGAAAAGATATGGGTTAATAACCAGGTTAATTAACTAGTCCCTAACTCGTTAACTGGGACGGGCACCCATCAAGTCACCACAACACAGCACCATGCAGGACATATGTAATTATTTCCTTCATAACTAAGAAAAGATATAGGTCAATAACCAGGTTAATTAACTTGTCACTAACTCATGCAAATCATGCAAACCATGCAAAAAGTGTGCAGTAAATATTGTCCTCCAAAACTGGGGAGAGATCCAGGTCGATAAACCAGTTCATTGACCTGAGCTAACCAGTGCATGACCACGACATACCACCATGCAGACATACAGTTGACTTAATGCTTGGAGAAGGGAAAGAAATGATCAATTTAACAATTCTTCTAACATGCAAAATCATTTGAAAGCAACTGTAACAATAAGTGTACAACAAAGTGTATTGTTTGAGATATACTATTGTGCATGAAGAATGTACAATAGTACAATATCACAGTATACATATTATATGTATACTGTGATATTGTACTATTGTACTATAGTACAATATCACAGTATACATATACAGGGTTCTCACCAGGATTTTTTCACAGCGTAGGGGTCAGGTATAGAAGGGCAACTTTCTGCGGCGCGAGTCACGCACCAAGTCCCCAAAACATGGGCCTGATATTCTCCCCCCAAAATTTTGTAACTCATATTAACCACTTCAGACACTATTTACTGTTTATTGGGGGACAGATTTTGTTTTCCCTTTGTTATAGCTTCATTCTTAAGTTATATTTTCATTTTTTTGAAGATTAATGAAGCTTCTGCCCCCAAAAACCACCCCTACCCTGGTTGAAACACAGTGTAGGGGGCTAAATCACAGCGTAGGGGGTCAAAATCACAGCGTAGGGGGCCCCTACGCTCAAACAGCCTAGTGAGAACTATGTCATATATATAGGGTAACAGAAAATTCACATGCAGTGCAAAGATAAAAAGTGTCCACAAAAACATAATTATCAATCAAGAAACAACCATCAACACAACATAATACATTAACATTTCAAAACATCTCTTAGATTTTTCCCACAAACATTATGCTATTTTATAGACTTATAAATTCAAAATTCAAAACAAATATTCTTCAAACTAGTCATAACTCAGAAATGAAATAGAAAAATGAAAATTCAGTCATGCAATCAATGTTTGACTTTGAATCAGATTTTAGTGTACAGGAAAGTGAATAACAACAGTGGATCCAGTCACTCTTGAGTGCATGCTTATATACAGTAAACAAAATAAACATCAAATAAACAACAAACAAACAAATACACATAATCCTTACTGGTGATGCCCTCGGAGGTGATGTCGGTCATGCTGCAGCATGCTGACACCATCCGCATGGAGAGCTTATCCACCACCAAAACCTTCCATTCACCCTTCTTCCTCAGGGGTTTGATCACATCGTTCATAATACCTGTCGGCATGGAAACAGGAAATAAACAAACAAACAAACAAATAGCATGGACAGCTAATAATATCCACCACCAGGACCTTCCATTCACCCTTCTTCCTCAGGGGTTTGATCACATCGTTCATAATACCTGTCGGCATGGAAACAGTCAATAAACAAACAAACAAACAAACAACATGGACAGCTAATAATATCCACCACCAGGACCTTCCATTCCCCCTTCTTCCTCAGGGGTTTGATCACATCGTTCATAATACCTGTCGGCATGGAAACAGGAAATAAATAAACAAACAAACAAACAACATGGACAGCTTATCCACCACCAGGACCTTCCATTCACCCTTCTTCCTCAGGGGTTTGATCACATCGTTCATAATACCTGTCGGCATGGAAACAGCAAATAAACAAACAAACAAACAAACAAACAACATGGACAGTTTATCCACCACCAGGACCTTCCATTCACCCTTCTTCCTCAGGGGCTTGATCACATCGTTCATAATACCTGTTGGCATGGAAACAGGAAATAAACAAACAAACAACTGTTGACACCATCATCTATAGTAACTGGACCCAAATAACACAAAGGTTTTGTGCCAGTTTCTTTATGTAGTTTTTTTATGAAGTCATCAGTCCTATTATTGTAGCTAGCTTGCTCTAGGCCCAGACAGAGACAATTTTTAAGTCGTAAACAATTTTAATAGAAATATTTATTTCTTTGCAAAAAGAATTCAGTTGTAACCATGTTGTTTACAATTAATATATCCAGCCACACCAGACTTTAGTTCATCAAAAGCTAGGGAATCCCAGTTTACTACAGGTCAGACATTTGAAAGGGGAAAAAATAACATAATGACTTCAAATCAATTCCCAAATAACCTGCTAGTTTCAGCCTTAAATGCAGGGAGAATTGCAGCCTGAATGGATACCCGAATAACGAGCTGTTTTCAGTCAAGACAGGCACAAAATCAATACAATAATAACAAGTTTGAATTTCCTTAACTGTAATTTGTCAGAGTAAGATCATGTATGAAATATTAATAAGACAGGTTGACATTTTAAACATTTGTCATTCTGAATCAACAGTTTAACTTTTTTTCATATCAAGTTGCACAGGGTCAGGTACAGTAACTATCAAAATTGCTTCATGATTAGAAGGGGAGGAGGGGGGTATGACATGACTCAAAAATAGATGGATAGAGGGGCACACTAAAGTCAGTAACAGCTATCAACAAGGTGAATAGATTCCTAATGTGTTAAAAATTTATCTCCTTGACAATAAGGCTGAATTGAGAAATTCCTCTACAATCTCAACTATACAGTAAATCGGCAAGCTCAGAGGCCAAATGTTAAAGCTGTCAGAACTAGTATCACAATATTTACATGTAAAACAGCCTTTCATTTTTCAAATGGCAGAAAGCCAGCAGCCATAATACACCACCCCGGATGTGATGACACACACACAGTTCTGACTCTGTAAGGTACATTACAGCTGTACATCATACTGGGGCCAGGGTAGGGTATCTAATGTTGGAAAACAGACCTACTTTGAAATAAAAACTCCTTTACAATCTCAACTTTAGAATAAAACAGAGAGCTAGCTAGTAGGTAGACATGTTAGAACACCACCCCAGTGTGATGACACACACACGGTTCTCTGTAAAAAAAAAGTGTAAGGTACATTACAGCTGTACATCATACAGGGGCCAGGGTAGGGGGGGAACAACTGTGGGGGAACAGATCTACTGCAAAATCAAAACACTACACTACAACACTTCTATTAGAAGTTCTAATAAAACACGAAGGGGAATAAGAATTATATTTCTAAAAACCATTATTATGGACCTCACAGACACAGAGGCAGAATTTGCATACTTGTGACAGGGCGGTAAAACACAAACTACTGTGTGCTGATATGCCTTCCACTGGAACACTAACACATATGGTCCTGTCCTTGGTGCTGAAACACCAAGGAAACAACCTAAATATATCTTTCTGAACTCTTCTCAAATTATACGAAGCCTCTCCACCAAAAGCACTATGTATACCTATGAAAAGGCCAGGAACTTCTGACTACATTTCATTTCATTAGATGGTTCTGAAGTGCCTTCCACTGGACTACTGACACATGTGGACCTGTCCTTGGTGCTGAAAGGAAGCTCATCATAACATCTGTCTCTTTCTCTGTTTTCTAAATATACATTCATTTCATTTTTAAGCAGCGAAACCATAGTTGCTCTCTCTCTGTGCATTATTACCTATAGATAATTGACAGATACACATTTCTGCAGTCTGAGTGACAGACAGTCGGCCTTACTGAGGATATACATGCATGTGATGAAAGTTATGACCTAAGTAACCCAGAAGGGGGAGGGGGGCACAATATATCACATTTGTATAAACACACCATTTCACCTGGAGCAGTTATAATATCATGTGCTGGCATGAAAAATAAATGAAGTCATTTGTCACAGTTACAGCTGGGACATTTCAAATGCATAAATAAAACTATAAATATCGATATCATCTGTAATGTATAGAGGATATAGCAGGATTTTCTACTGATATTTGTGATAAATGACCTTGCTGAAGGTCGTTTATCAGCAGCTGTGATTGACCTAGGTTAAATGGAAGGGGGCAATTACAGGTCAGAGGTCAACAATTTGGCAGCCCACTGGACAAACCATTATTTAGGTATTATGGGGGACACAGTGTGGAAAATAGACTTCATTTTGAGTCAGTGTTCATTGAATCAGTTCTATTATTTTCCAATTATTTCCTTTCAGTTATTTTCAGATTTTCTGTGTACAGTCCTATAGAAATAATGTCCCTATTCCTCATTTCCTGAAGACTTTCATTCCTTATTCAAACTTTAAACACGAATAAAACAAACAAAACAGGACTATTTTAAACATTTCCTGTAAGACTGCCTACAAATTGTAAATTAAACACACTGATGTAACAGCCAACAGCTTATATTTTTACTTCACCAGCATGTCCTGATCCAACCTGAAATTTCATCACTGGGTAACTAAAAGTAATTTTCAGCAGGAATCCCGATGCCCGGGAATTCCCCTGTGGAATTCCTGATTCCCCCGCCATGCCGTACTCGTGTTATTGACTGTGTAGCCGGGCAGTTCAAGGTCACCTGATGACACACCGCAGTGTGCGGCAGGCCTGGATCTCACCATTACACAAACCTGTCACGTACGTACGGGATACGGGCTGGGGCTGTTTATAATACACAGGTACATGATGGGGGTGTATATATGCCACATAAAACTGGGACTGCAGACTGCAGGTATATATGATGCCCTGGGAGATTTAAAGGAAAGGAAAATACATGTGGAGTAAGTGGAGATAGATTTATAATATCACCCAAAACAGATTAACATGTAGAGGGCTCAGGCAGGAAATAAATCTCTCCCCTGTGTCTATACTTGACATATCTCTCCCCTGTGCTTCTAACATGTCAGACACTATGTACATGTATGACTCATGTATCACCATGGCAACAGAGTTTGTCGTGACCATGACTCATGTATCACCATGGCAACAGAACCTGTCAGACACCACCATGACTCATGTATCACCATGGCAACAGAACCTGTCAGACACCACCATGACTCATGTGTCACCATGGCAACAGAACCTACATTGCCATGGTAACATGTCAGTACTGACACACCAGACCCACACCAACATGCACGGTCCCTGATCCATTATTTATGTACCTGTCCATTAGGGGTGGAGACTGGAACTAGACTCCGACTGGGAAATGTACTGGTACTAGAAATACTTAATTTTAGCATTCTGCAGTATTACAGACTAAAAATTCTGTTTTCCAATTCAGAAATACTTTCTGCAGATGTGTTATACATGTATGTCTGCACCTAAACCAATGGCATATACAAATTGCATTTGAAAAATTCAGACCAAATTATTATCAGTCAGTGTTGAATACAGAAGCCCTTAAAGAACACACGTATTATGCTGACACCGTTGAACCTCTAGACTAATTTTTCAGTCTGCAAATTTGCACATTGCTTAAATCTTTCTCTGCAAAATGCAGACTGCAGATGGGCATTTCTATCATGTCCAGGGTGGGAGAAATGGAGGGGGGGGGGCATTTTGGCTTTGTGCCCAAAAAAATCAGCATCTAATTTTCTCTCTCTAAATGGCAAGGAAATTAAACTGTTTATTCCCAGAGCCACACTCATTTATTCTCTCAAACATTTAAGGAAGTAATATTTCAGCAAGCAGAGTTATTTATTACATGCAGACATCATAAAAGCAGAGGGATCGGAAGAAAACTTTAATATCCACTCCATTATACTGAACATACTGAGTGATAAACTGGTCCTCAGGCATTGTTTATTGTGTTTTTTTTAAATCTGAGTATCAACAAATCATGTCTCCTGACTACCAACTTAGCTTCAAAATTAGTAGTAGATGCATGTTTTCTAATAACTACACTAAGATGCTCATAGTTTATACTGAGGAGAAGAATTGGAGTGAGGGCTAAATTGATTTGGCCCTGTGCCCAGAGTTCTGAGTTGAAACAATCAGGGTACAGGTAGGGAGGTTATCTCCTATTCTCAACAGGATATTCATATTAAACTGTTTGTTTTTATAGACAGTCGTGGCTTCTATATGTATATTTACAGTATCGTCTAACACCTGTGTGGTCTTTAGGCTGTGCCAGCCTTGTTATTTTACATTCCATCACAAATTCTCAAAAATTACTTTTCACATTTCATAATTTCTGTATCAAGATCTGCAGGTCTACAAAATTGCAGCAAGAAATCAAAATCATAAATAAATGTTATTTCTCATGTATAACATACATTACACTTTCATTGGCGATTTCATCATTTCTGTATTAATGTCTAGTACATCTAAAAAACTTGCAGCAAGAAATTAAAATCATAAATAAACCTGACGCATAAAAGCATTGCTATTATCTCACTGTGCAGTAATTATGACAAATATTCCCATTTTCCCCGGCTGACTGACCACTCATTATCACAGGCCATTCTTCTCATAATTAACCAATAAATGATTGATCAGCTGGTCCAGTCTCCGGTCTGATTGATTACCAATATTCAATACACCTGATCAGAACCAAGGGCAGGTTTTGTACTAGGTGTTGTAGAGAGACACTGACTAGTGAATTATTGAAAAACACCACGATTTAGTGTCAAAATATGGCCACAATCAATGGAGACCTACTCACACATATGCACATGTACTAATAACAAATTGTCAAAAAAAGACAGGTTGAAATATGTTTAATTTTTCCATTAATAAGCAGCAAAGACCAGGAAACTTTTAGTTTATAAATCCGACATGTTGTCTTGGATTCCACATTTGGTTTGATTTATGTAATCATAATTTAAGGAAACAACAGATACTAAATGTCACAAAGCTGAATGAATAATGTGGTCTGTTGACAGCTACATGTATGTCCCGGGGGATGATACATTATGTGTGATGTTTTGGGGATCATCCATTGTTGTTATGGAGGGACTGTCTCATGTAAGATTTCAGTTTTGTGTTTTATGGTCACTAGTTTCATCTTCCTCTACTATCATTTTCCCTACCAAAAATACACTCAAAAATCCATCAAAATCTATCCAGCTAATGGACTGATACCTTTCCATTGAGGTCTTGAGGGAAGATGTAATACGGGTCAGACAAAACATTTTCTTTATGAGTGAAAACAAATGCATAAATACCAGTACATGTTGTATGTTGTATGTAGTAAAATGTGGGTCAAGTTACAACCCTGTGTCGACCATCATAACATGCCATCTCCACATGCAGTGTAGAAAGTGGTGCTAAATTAATTAGTGTTCCCTGTACAGCTATTCCCTCAATACACAGCTAAACACCTGAGGCCTGGTGTTCATGGTTCACTGGACTCACACTCACAGGGGAGGGAGGGATGGGTGGATTACTACCAGTATTACAATGCATTAATATTATAATAATAAATAAAAGAAAACACATGAAATACAGGACACTTAGAACTGTGTTCTGCTCTAACTATAACTCTTGGCATACTGTAAAAGCATCTAATTACAGGGCTGGTTACATTTTGCACAGAAAGGGAAAGGAGTTTTACTCCACATGATAACACCACTAGCTAGTGTACATGTATGCCTTGCCAAATTGCCTGAAGTAATGTTTACAAATTTCTGTCAATGACTTTTTCAACGTTACAAGGCAAGAATTTCTGCCACTGATCGGGTATACACTATCAGCCTCTTTTCACTAAAATTGTATTATGGTTATTGATGTACAAGCAACAATCCATACATATTGTGTGTCATCTGCTGCACCCAAGTCACTGAACCAGCAGGTAAAAATCAAACATTTACTGATGTTATATTCAGCAGCTACATCTATATTTAGACAGAATTGATCTATTATGTAAATAAATACAGGTAAATGGAAGCACAGGGATGACCTCTATGATGTAAATGGAGTTTTATTCAGTTATGTTCATCTATATCAAGTCTACATTAATATTTTATGATGCCATCCCTGCTACCATTCCACACTGTTATTGTGGTTGACAAGCTTGAAAACCTGTTCCAATAAAAGTTCTACTATAATTGCACATGTCTGGTCCAGTCTATGTCTACATACATACACGTACAGGGTCATAAATTACTTGTTCAACAACAGGGACCATTTGCTAGCTGCTTCATGCAGATGTAAAAAGTGTTCCCTCAGTATACTAGACACAGAGGCTTAGCTTGTGCATCTAGAAACACTTCTACAACACACAAGACCAGATCACCAAGGGTCAGACCTAGAGACTCAACCATCATGAACTGGTACCAACTGAAACCAGCACCTAGAGACCATGTCTAGCATAATAATGGACATAAAACATCAACAACAAGCTTCTGCTGACAACTAACATGATCCAAGGGTCAGACCTAGTGAGCCAATCATCATGAACTGATATCATGACGTGAAACCCAGCACCTAGAAACCATGTTTAATATTATATTAAATTGACATCAAGGTATCAAGGACATAAAATTTTAACATGGACAACAACAAGCTTTTGCTGACAACCAATACGATCCAAGTGAAGTTTATCTGGTGAAATTCTGCCTGTGCAGGCGAGTATAAATAAATTTTCCACCACACCTGTCTGTCTCTACTCGTCCCGTTAACTATCACAGCTAAAACATCTCCAAGCAGATGTTTTGATGGTCACAATACGGTATCAAATAACGGCAAGACAATATCAAATTACCAGGGCAGTATCCAAAATTTGGCTGGCAAAAAAAGGTACCAGTACAAAAAAGAAAGACTGGCAAAATCGCCAGAATCCTGACCCTGTGCTTGGAGAGTACCGCTATATGAAAACATCGACCTGCCCAAAACACTCCCGGCCCCGCCCACAGCAAATATCACTTCTGCGGCACCACTTCCGGGTTAGGGACAATCCGGGGAGCAAAATGCCGGAATCCGGCAGATTTAGGAGCCGGGATTGTTGGTGTGGTTTTTACGGTACCTGGTGAGGTCAGGGTGGAACATATTCTGCGTCAAGTACTAATGAATCGGCTGTGTGGACATGTCATTGGGGAATGGATGGGAGCGAAGCGCGCCCAATACTGCAGATTTTTATTAACCACAAATCGTCAGAATTCACCCAATCTGAGGGTTTAAACCTGGGATATGAACCATAGTAGTCTCGAACTAGCTAAAAATGTTATTTTTGATTAAGAATGGTGGACTAAAGCTTAGGAATTTTAAGAAAATTAAAGGTACTTACGGTCGCCCACCACCGCCTTTAGAGCCATCTTGGATTTGAATGTACAATGGCTCAGTCCACTGAAAAGGGGTGCATTTCTTCAAAATAAAAATGTTTCTACCAGTCAGGTGATAAAGATCTTATATTAATTTATTAAAAAAATTTGAAAGCTCTAAAATTTTACAATATCTACAATAAAAGATACTTTATCTACTTTTTGTACAGTACTGCGTTACTAGTAAATTTCCAAATTAAATGACACCCCTAAAGAGAAGTAGCATCGTCTAACTTGTGATGGTGGGTCACCATGGTCTCTCGCGAGATTTCCCGAGATAATGACATCATCTTTTTCCGTACGGTCAAAGGTCAGACACCCGGATGGGGGATGAACCATTACAACTACGGGTGGGTTTGTGAATATTGAGTGCTTTTCTTTTTCATTCATTCTTTTTTCCCTGGTTTTCAAACAGCAATTGACATGTTTTAAGAGCAAAACATATATTTAAGCTTTTTTTTCTCCATAAACTTTACGTTGACCCTGCCTGTCAACATTTCGAGAAGTTTAATAGAGAAATATATAACAAAATGTGTGAATGATACTAGTAGTTGGTTTCGCATATTGCGATGGATAAATACTTGCTATTAAAGCTAAAGCGCTGTGCTGTTTATACCGGTACATTCATTGCGCGATATTCTCAGAGTTTTAGGTCAGTCCTCTGGAGATGACGTCATCACGAGTGACGTCATAGGCGGAAGTCCCCCGAAGTTTCGGTAGCTCGGGTGAGTAGCCAGAAGCGGCGTTTGCATTTGGACACGTCGCTCGGCCGTGCAAAGGTTCCCGCGATCAGTTTGATCAGAAAGACGGCCAAACACGGTGGGTATCAGAGTTGAACTAGAGATTGCAGATCTACTAGAACAGGGCCTAGGGTAACGTTGCACCCAGGGTAGCCTTAGACCAGCGGCACTCGTGTGGCTCAGACTGAAGGCATGGAGGTGAGTTTCATCAAAAATATTGTTGTCTACTCAGTAATACTGTAAATATAAAAGCGCTTTATATTAACATGTTAAAGCCCTTCCGATTCAAGCAGGGCGTCCTATGCATGTATGAATGTTACATTTTTTTATAGCCAGTTGATATAAAGGTTAAGACGTCCAAAACTTGAGTGGCGTCGCCAGTTACACGTGATGTGTGATACAGTAAATATAGTTACGCAGTCACGCTACCGTACACACCCGTACACCAGACCAGTCAAAGGCTATAAACAGTGTTCCGTATGGTCTGTTGTCAGAACCATTCTTCAGTGTAACTTGAAACCGTGACCCAATGACGTTTAATTTTATGCCATGACTCATAGTCATTCTGGGAACCCTTTACTCTGACTTCCTTGCGTGAACAGAACAAAAATATATTGGAATCCGTGATTTAGCGATGGTTTAAATGATATATGATTGCGTTTGAGCCGGAACATTTCTTACCATTGTTTGCTTTAGCGATGTAAGTTTTCTAGTGTGTTGACACTCAGGTTAAAGTTTATCTACCTTATTGGTACAGGTAGTACGGAATATATGTACACATAATCTATCACTGTCACAGCTGTGTTTGTTTTCCCCATTTTACGGTAGGCGATTATGAAGGCTTTGCAACTCATTACTGACAGGCCCCAGCAGGCCCCTGGTCTAGTTTGGTAGTATTTTTGGACAGTGAACCTACATGTGACCTACATATGCCTGATAGATCCAACCAGCTGTTATTTTGCTCCTTTTGTTACACTGCTTCACCTAGGACTAGACAACAAGCCAATGATTTGGCAACTGATCCTTACATGACATTGTGTACCCAAACACTTAAATTGTTTCCCCTTCTATTACAGTTGCTGCCCCAGTTACCATGGACTTGCAGTAGGTATTGGAAGGTACAGACCAAATTAATAGTTTCAATAGGCTGAAAGTACTCTCAACAATGGAAATCTAGATCTGGTTAAAAAAAAACCTGTTGTGCTTTAAAACCTGGAACATCTGAAGAACAACCCATCATGGGTTTGATCTTCAGCTACATCTGGAGGACTGATGAAGAGGAGCAGGATGCTGAAGAGGAAGAGGAGGAGGATGGTCCATGGAGCCTGCAGGAGCTTCAGCAGAAATGTCGTCAGACACCAGAAGGGCTGATGGAACTGAACCTTCAAAACTGTGGCCTTACATCAGTCCCCTCCTCAGTTTTCAGACTGGAGGAGGTCCAAATCCTGAACATATCCTGGAACAAGTTAACCCACCTAAGTGCAGGTATAGGTGCTCTAAGGCAGCTACAAGTCCTACATGTAGAACACAACCAGCTGAGCTCGTTGCCAGCAGAACTCGCCGACTGCGCAAACCTCGCGGAGCTGCATGCCGGGTGGAACAGCCTGTCCTGTCTGCCTGCCCGGTACAGGAGAATGACTAACCTGAAGGTTCTCAGCCTCTACAGCAACGACTTCAAGTCCCTTCCCGACTCAGTGCCTCTCATGACAAGCCTGGAATATGCAGACTTTGAACACAACAGTCTTAAAGGCCTGCCCATGTCACTGTCGAAAAGCAAGGTCAAGGTGCTTAAACTTGGCATGAACCAGTTTCAGCACGTTCCCCTTGTACTTGTGTCGATGCCTTCATTAGAAATTCTCGACATGTCTGTTGCTTTTGCACGTCAGGAATCACCACAGATTCAGTGCATTTCCAGTTGGTTTATTCTACGTGCTGTGTTAGTAGGTACAGTGCTCAATGCCGTCCAGATGGTAAAGAGATCGAGTCTCTGGTCTCAGCGTTACTTGGCAGGATGGGCTATACTATTACAATGTGTAGGGGTGTTATCTGTATTCTTACTTCGTGTAACATCCCCTTTCTTTACAAAAAGATGTTAGTTTCTTTCTCTTTAAGTTTCATGCATTATCACTCTTAAACTGGCATGCATTATCACTAAACTAGAAATCTATCAGAGTCCAGTGTCCGTATTCGTTGTCCATTCTCAGGTTACAGTTCATTCACAAGTTCAAACGATCTGGTTCCTTGACCGTTCGACCGGATCGCGTGACGTACGGTGTTGGCGTTGTTGTTGTTGTATCGGCTGTCGACTCTGCTGTTGCTGGAGCTGTTGTTTCCTCATCTGTTGAAGGTTTTGGTTCTTCTGTCGTTTCGCGGATGTGCTTTCGGTTTCTCCTGTACTTGGCTCCGTCGACTTCTACTTCGTACGATCTCGGCGACACACGCTCTACAAGTGTGCCACTCCTCCACTCGGCCGTTTTCCGGTTTGGTGCCACTTCTACTCGCACCTGCTGTCCCGGCTGCAGTGGTGGAAGACTTCGTGCTCCCTCGTCGTAGCGCCTCTTTGTTCGGGCTTTTCTCTCTGTGATGCTGTGGGGTACGTCCTGTACCACCTTTGGCTCCAGTGCTTTTGTCATTATTGGTACTGGTGTTCTCGTTCTCCTGGACATGAGCCTTTGTGCTGGGCTACTGTCCTGTCCCTGTGTTGGCGTATTCCGCCATCCTAAGATGGAGATCCAGGGATCTTTTCCATCTGCCGCTGCCTTTTTCAACAGGTTCTTGGCTATTTTTACTGCTGATTCAGCCTTTCCATTTGATTGGCTGTGGTACGGGGAAGTTGTTACATGTCTGAAGTTCCAGGTCTTTGCGAATTCCTTGAACTCTTCTGATGCAAACTGGGGTCCGTTGTCGGTAACAACTTCCATGGGTATTCCATGTCTGCTGAAGTTCTGCTTGCATTTGTGTATCACATTCCTGGCTGTGGTATTCTGGTGTAGCTCGTCTAGCTCCCAGTAGTCTGAGTAGTTATCCACTGTTACCAGGTAGTGTTGGTTTCCCAGTGTCATCAGGTCCATCGACACTCTGCTCCATGGCGTCGTTGGAGTTGGATGCGGCATGAGCGGTTCCCTCTGCTGCTTCGGCTGATAGGTCTTGCAGACGTCACATCTTCCGATTCTTTCTCGCAGTTGTGCACTCATCCCTGGCCAGAATATGGTTTCTCTGGCTCGTCTGATACATGCTTCTGCTCCTTGGTGGCTGGCATGTGTCTTCTGTATCATCTCTTCTCGCAGCTCTGCTGGGATGACTATCGCTTGTCCCTTGTATATGATGTCATCGTGCATGCTGATTTCATCTCTGAAGGTCCAGTAGTCTCGGATTTCTTTCTTCAGCTGCGTTTTATTGTCTGGCCATCCCTTCTTGATGGTCTTCTTCAATTCTTGCATGACTTCATCTCGCTGAGTGTGTAGACGCACACGGTCTAACGTCATATCGGACACTCGGATGTACTCAGCGGGTTTCACTTCTTCAATTTCTCGATCCTCTCTCTTTGCTTCTTGGATCTTGAGTATCTCATACTCGTCTCGTCTCGTCTTGCTCTCTGTCTGCGTCAGGTATGCTCTTGATAGCGTGTCAGCTATGTGCATCTCTGTTCCTTTGCGGTAGATAACCTTCAGGTGATATTTCTGCAGACGCAGGAGCATTCGTTGCAACCTCTTCGGTGCGTCAAGGAGAGGCTTCTTGAAGATCACTTCCAAAGGCTTGTGATCTGATTGTACAGTTACCACTTCTCGGCCGTGGATGTACTGGTTGAACTTCTGTGCTGCAAAGACAATTGCTAAGCACTCTTTCTCTATCTGCGCATAGTTCTGTTCTGTCGGGGTTAGAGCTCGCGAAGCATACGCTACCGGGCGTCCTTCCTGCAGGAGCGCCGCTCCAAGTCCCTTGTCGCTTGCATCTCCCTGTATGGTCACCTCTTTCTCTACGTCGTAGTATTGTAGTACTGGCTGTGCTGTCACCAGCTTCTTGATCTCTTCCACTGCTTGGTCATGTACAGGTAACCATGCCCATATGGCATCTTGTCGGTCAGTCGACGCAGTGGTTCACAAACGTCGGACAGATGTGGTAGGAACTTCGCCAAGTAGTTCACCATACCAAGCAGTCGTTGTACAGCTCTGACATCGTCAGGCGTTGGCATTTCCACAATGGCCTTAACCTTCTCTGGGTCTGGTCGCAGGCCTCTTGCTGTGAGGAGCTGTCCCATGTAGGGTACTTGCTTCAGTTTTAGTCTCATCTTCCTCTTGTTCAGTTTGAGATTGCTCTCTCGTGCTCGCTCGAGCAGTCGGCTAAGGTTCACGTCATGGTCTCGGTCGGCTTCTTCGTCTGTGTCGCCACAACCAAACACTAGGATGTCGTCTGCTATGACATCTACACCTTGGAGACCTTCTAGCACTTCGTGCTGTCTTCTCTGGTATTCCTCTGGAGCCGTTGAAATCCCAAAGGGCATTCTCAGCCATCGGAATCTCCCAAATGGCGTCCAAAACGTCGTGAGGTAGCTGCTTTCTTCATCTAATTTGACTTGCCAAAATCCGTCTTTGGCATCGAGTACTGAGAACACTTTGGCCTTGGCCAGCCTTGGCAGTACTTCTTCTAGTGTTGGTATCTGATACTTTGGTCGGTGGAGTGCCATGTTGAGATCCTTGGGATCTAAGCAGATCCTCATCTTCCCTGGCTTTTTGACTACCACCATACTGGAGATCCAATCTGTAGGTTTTGTGACTCTGGCGATCACGTTCTTCCTCTCTAATTCTTCGATCTTCGCTTTTAGTTGTGCTTTCAGAGGAACTGGTACGCGTCTGGGTAGATGTTGGACTGGCTTGACATCCTTGTCAATCTCTATGTGATACTCTCCAGGTAGGCATCCCAATCCTTCAAAGACATCGGTGTATTTCTCTACTATCTGTTCTGTGGTGCTGACATGGTTGACCGTGTTGAGGGTGATCAGTCCTAACATGGTGCATGTTTCAGCTGATAGTAGAGGACTCTGACGTGTCTTGACAATCTGGAACTCCAGGTCAATGACCTTGCTTTGATGTATCGTCTTCAGGACTCCTTGGCCCACTGGCTTCAGGATAGAACCGTCGTACAGCTTCAGTCTTGCCCTGCTTGGCGTCGTCCTCTGTCCATACTTCTTGAAGTCAGCTTCGCTGATCACAATTGCAAGTGGCTCCGGTGTCGATCTGACAGCGTAGTGTTTTTCCTTCGCTCATCTTCAGGTCGACGTACCATTTCCTGTCATTGCATGACACTGTACCTACAGTGTACACTTCTTCGTCCTCTTCTGCCACGTTGCCTTGTATCATGTGTATCTTCTTGCTGCCTGCTTTGCAAACTCTGGCGAAGTGGTTGGGCTTATCACACTTCGCGCATTTCTTTCCAAATGCTGGGCATTTACTCTTGTCTTTAGCATGGTATTTTCCACAGTAACCACAGTTGGCTTCTGGCATCTGCGTCCTTCTGTGTGGCTGCTTAAACTTCGTCTTGGCTTGGCCTTGGCTTCGACTTGGCCTTGTCTTGGCATAATGCACGGTCTCTGCCCCATTGCTCTGCATGGCCTTGAGTTGCTTATTCGTTGTCTCACTGGCCTTACATTCTTCTAGTGCTGCTTGTAATGTGAGATTCTTCTGCTTCAACAGCCGCATTCTCACTTTGTTGTCTCGAACTCCAAGCACGATTCGGTCTCGCAGCATCTCATCCTTCAGAGCGCCATACTCACATGTAGACACTAGTTTCCTCAGGCGTGCCACATACGTTTCGATGCTTCTCCTTGTGCTTGTTCACATGTATTGAATTTGTATCTCTCATACACGGTATTCTTCAGGGGCTTGAAGTGCTTATCTAAGGCTTCTATAATCTTATCGGGGTCTTGCCTGGGGTCTACGTTTGGCTGATTTGGGTCGGCTGGAATATCTAAGTTTCTTAGAATGTCCAAGCAATCTCTACCAATCACGGTCTTCAGTGTTGCTACTCGGATTTCCTTTGGTTTCTTGTTCTTCTCTGTAGCAATCTCATAGCTGGCCCATTCATCTTTGAAAATTTCCCAGTTTTGCGCAACATCCCCTGTCAGTTCCATGGGCTTTGGTACTGGTAACAGTCGATTGTCTGCCATTTTTATGCCTTCAAAAGTCTTCTTTTTGACCGTCTGCCTGTGTTTGTTTTGATGCTGTCACCTGCCCACACGGTAACTAGACATTGACATATGCTTGTTCCTGGCACCTCTGACCTTAGATCCTTCTCGTTAGCAGAATTCCTACTTGTCAACTTTCCAGACGCTAAGGAATGTGTCCTATTTCCTGGGACACGCTAAAACAATAGAGCCCTTATGCCTACGCATGTGCTTGACTCAGTCTGTCTGGAAATTCTTCACAAGTTCTTAATGGAATTTTCTCACAATATCAATTCCATCAAAGTTCTCTGGTGCTCTTTAGACTAGCATTCTCTGGATGCTATCTTGGAAGAAAGACATTAGACATTGGACTTAGCTGTCTCCTTTGAAGACTTTGGCTCTCTCTGTCCTTCCGTCTTGACTTGAGACCGTTTGCTTTCGTCTTCTTCTGTCTTCTTCTGTCTTCTTCTCCTTGTCGGGTCCGTTTTGCCTTTCTCTGTTCTCCTGAACTTGCTGAAGGCCACTTCTTGACACCATGTTGCTTTTGCACGTCAGGAATCACCACAGATTCAGTGCATTTCCAGTTGGTTTATTCTACGTGCTGTGTTAGTAGGTACAGTGCTCAATGCCGTCCAGATGGTAAAGAGATCGAGTCTCTGGTCTCAGCGTTACTTGGCAGGATGGGCTATACTATTACAATGTGTAGGGGTGTTATCTGTATTCTTACTTCGTGTAACAATGTCAAGTAACAAGATTTCTTCCCTCCCTGACATCATAGGCAGTATGTCGCAGGTGAGATCCCTGAATTTTGCCCGTAATTGCATCCAAGTCCTTCCCCAAACCATCTGCGACCTTTCCTTCATAGAAGAGCTGAACTTTCTCCAGAACAAAATCGCAAAGCTACCCTCGGGTATCAGTCATCTGACCAGACTACGGTCGGTCAACTTTGAAGGAAACGCCTTGTCAACTTTTCCTTCAGAAGTGTGTGCTATCTCTTCTTTAGAAGAAGTTAACTTCAACAATAATCACATCGAGTTCCTTCCTGTGCACATCAGCAACTTAAAACGTGTCCAAGCACTTCGCCTCTCCAACAACAGAATCCCGTCCCTCCCCAACTCCATCTGTGAGCTGACGGAACTGGAGACCTTGACCCTCATGGGGAACAAGCTGACAGAACTTCCGCTCATGTTCGACTCTTTACGGAACCTGCAACATCGAAGCATCGACAGCGGGCTGGACTTGTTTAACAACGAGATGCAGATGCCGCCTCGGCATGTCTGCGACAGCGGCGTGGAGTCCGTGTTCCAGTACCTCCGGGAAATCCGACGGACGAGACCTGTGGAGGTGAACAGGCGTAAGATCTTAGTCTTTGGGGAATCGGGCGCCGGGAAGACGAGTATGATCCACGCGATGCTGAACGGACGGTCCAGACTGGCCCTGCCTGACGAGCAGACGCACGTCCTGGAGCAGCACATGTGGACGGTGGAAGGTGAGAGGTTCCAGGTGAATGACTTCGGGGGGCAGCAGATGTACCACGTCACCAACCAGCTCTTCTTCACCAGGAACGCCGTGAACGTGCTGGTCTTCGACATGAACCGGTACGGCGCGGCGCGGTATAACCGGGACGTGGGGGACTGGGTGCAGGCGGTGACCGCCCAGGTACCGGACGCCGTCCTCCTGCTAGTGGGAACTCACAGCGATCTCTGTACAGCCGCAGAAATACAGAGGAAAAGGGAGGAAATCCTGGCTACCATGCGACAAAGGGAGAACACCGTGATTGAAGACATCAAGGAAGAGATATTCAAACTGAAGGAGGCACTAGATGGCAAGAGGAACGGGCTTTTTGCTGGTCACAACAGGTTCGCAGGCATGAGCACAGAAGAACTTACGGAATGCCACACCCTTCTGCAGCGTAGACTAACATCCCGGCCAGTCCTCCCACAGGAGATGATAGTCGTAAGCTCTGCTGACAGTTTAGACGGCATCCCCCTGTTGGTACACACTGTCCTGCAGTGCACACAGAATCCGCAGCTCTTCCCTAAAACCGTTGTGCCTGAGTCCTGGGCAGATCTGGAGAGGCAGCTCACCGAGTCCAGAAGCGGTCCCGAACACTTCCTTACCTACGAGCAGGTGGTACGGATGGCAGGGGACTTCGGTCTGACCGAAGACAGGCTGATCCCAGCACTGAGATACTTGCACCTTGTGGGAGAAATCTTGTGGTACGAAGACAACGTGATGTTGAAGGAGTACGTCTTTCACAAACCCTCCGACCTGATCGACATTTTCAAGGCGATCTTTCGCCACGACATCGAAGACTTCCTGACATACGGGAATGACGTCTTCAAGCGAGTCGGACACATGACCAAACAGCAGTTCCGTCTGGTCAAGTCCCGCTTCCTGAAAGGAGGCCAGATGTCTGTGGGTCTGCTGAGGTGTTTTCTGTGGGGCGTGTGTGCAGACCACCAGAGTCTGTCGGTGGTGGTGGGTCTGCTGAAGAAGTTTGAGCTGTGTTACCAGCTGCCTGAGTCTGAGGCCACCCCGGGGCTGACCGGCCCCTCATCCCTCCTGTTCCTGCCCTGGTACCTGTCCTACAAGGAGCCGTCCAACCTGCACAAGATGTGGCCAACAACCGTTCCTGATAACTACAGTCAGGTAAAGAAGCTTCAAACTTGTCTGTAATTTTAAACTTTCAACTTTGGTTACCTTTGAGTTTGAAGTTATCTGTACATGTCCTTTAAGTTTGGTCTGCTTTTACTTGATTGTATGACTTTTTGCATGCTCTGACAAAAAAAGGATTATAATGGTAACCATTATAATTTAAAAAAATATCTAGATTCTCCACTTCTTCTGAGTGACTTTCTATCTTGTAAGCTGTAACATCAAATCTGAGTAGACTTGGACACTGAGGAGTATTTAATTTATAGGGAAGAGGTAGAAAATGGCAGAAATTATACAGCTTTTATGCAATGCCCCCCCCCCACACACACACACATACATTTTGTACACACACAGCTACAGGTGATGTACCAGTTCCCCAGTGTCAGCCCCTGTGGCCTGTTTGAGCGGATGTTGGTGAGACTACAGCGTCACGTCATTAGGAGGGAAGACTGGAAGGACGGAGTGGTGGCCAGCATCAGGAACCAGACCGTACTACTCAGGAGAACCGCGGGGGATGAGGACTGCTGCGAACTCAACTTGTACGTACGGGGAGAAGAGGTAAGTGTCATTACAGGATTTTGGTCTGCTGCAGGTTGTGATCCTGTCACTTGCATGAACTATGTACAGCGTTCCCTATGTACAGCATGGTTCAACGGCAGTGCACAGGAAACACGCTATGACGACAGTCCCATATATGAAATTATCTTATTGATAAACAACAAAGATAATTTTTTGACACTCAGATATGAAGAATTTGCTGTATAATTAATGGTATACATGAAATATCTTTCTGTACGTAACAAAAAAACAAAAAGGTGCACTGCTGCACTCACAGAAAAAAATTTGGTGCACAGCTCTGATTTTGGGTACACCAAGGTGCACATGTACCTAATATTTTGAGCCCTGTTCGTGAAGTAAACATTTCCTTGTCCCACACCTGACCGCGGTGTGGACAATCCTCCTCCTCCTGCACACAGAGATGACGTCTCTCCTGTAACAGTGTATGTTATATGTTATATGTTATATGTTCCTGTCCCACAGCTGACCGCGGTGTGGACCATCCTCCTCCTGCTGCACACAGAGATGACGTCCCTCCTGTCCCAGTGGCCAGGTGTGCGCCACCAGGTGTTCCTGGTCTGCAGCCACTGCACCTGCCGAGGCCTGGCTGACCCGCACTGCTTCTTCGGGGAGGTTCGTTTGTTTGTTAATTTATCTATTCATTTCACCAGGGATACATGAAGATGTTTTTCAATGTGCCCTGGGGGGAGGGGACCCCAAACAAAAGCCATTTGCACCAAAATCAACTGAGAATCAACCTTTCTTGCAGTCTTAGTTACAACAAAAAGAACAAATGAAGGTAATCAAATTACTAAATGATGCAAAACCAAAGGAACTAATTTAAAAATAACATACATGATACATGAAATCATACTACCAAAGAAAGTGAAACAATAGTGTAACCTTAACATCATATTACGTACATGTAGAACCAACATTGTTTGTGCCTTTATTTATACTCCATCACTCCATCTTGCCATCTTGGCCACTTTTTGTGGGGGTCAAGTACAGAACCTAATAGAATGAAATCAGGGTTTTGCATACCTATGATTGTCAAGTACACATATAAAGTTGTGCTGTGGTTGGCTGTGTAAATGATGTGGTTTGTTCCACAGGTCCTGGACAGGCCCCGCCCGGCCGGTGTGAGCCGCCTGCCCTGTCCTAACGCAGATGATGAGGAGGTGGTGGATGTGGCTCTGGTGTACCCTCCTCCTGAAGGTTAGGAAGCACAGATGTAATCTATGGGGTGAAATGTTATAAGGGTGTTGGTAAGGCATGTTGGCAGAACATACTGTGCCTGCGAAAAACCCATTCATTTTTCACGGTTTCGTTGGATTTTGGTCAACGTTACGTCAGATTTTGCCTGTTGTAGACGATAGCTTTTCCGACACAACATTTGGAAACTACAGACGCGATGTTAACCTTATTACGCAAATACGACCTTATATGAGACATTCTGCCAAAGTGCTATGCATAATACATTACGGGTTTCGCGCAGGTGCAGTATGTTCTGCCGATGTGTCTGTTGGTAACATCAAGGACATTATACACAGAATGTCCTTGGTAACATGTAGGCATTGGTATCCAAACCTACAGTATTTCTGAGTCTCCCTCTATCCTTTATCAGTGACTGTAAGTGACCCAAACTACATGGTTTAATAGGGCTCTTCCATTGCAACATGTTGTGCCCTCTCCATCTCCATATATATTGTTGATTGCTTGACCTCGTCTGTTAAAAAAGATTACCTGCCCACCCCCCATAGAAAATAGAACAGTCTTCATACCTGGCATAGTACATGTAGTTGATACTGGACTGTACCATTCTCCCCAGCCCTGGAGGGGGTTCTGCAGGAGGGAGACCTGAGGACCGCCCTGATGGAGGCTGCCCAGCAGCTCGGCCGGGATGACTGGCGCAGGACCGGGCGGGTTCTGGGGCTGGCAGAGGCAGACCTGGAGGAAATTCAGGTAGATTTGACTAGAAGCAGCTGATACTGATAAATTTCTACTTCAGAAGCAGATAAGAACATTGTGTAGCTTCATGTAGTATCATGCTATTTCAATCTTCATAAAAAAAAAGTTATCAAGTCTCAGAAGAAAGAACTTGTCAGGGTTTTAATACACTGAGACTGAACATTGCAAGTGCTGGACAAGACAAAACATGGCAAAAATCACAAGTAAAAGTCATGCATGGTAAGTATAGATATTCACAATGTCAACAAGACATTTGGGTCATCTTACCTAAAATGGTCAACGGAAGGATCGAAAAATGCTGAACTGGAGGCCATGCCAGTTTTGTTGTATGTAGTCAACATCACGGTTAGTGTTGAATGACATTCTAGATCAAATCCATGATTTTATATCCCAGTTACTTCAGCACATCATTTTTCTCTCATCTTAACAGCATGATTTCCAGACACTCAGGGAGATGAAGTTCCAGATGCTGTTGTCGTGGCAACGGAAGGCAGGAGAAGACGCCACGCTGCAGACACTGATGGCCGCGCTGGGAGGCCAGGAAGTAGGAAGAAAAGACATAGCTGACTCGATCGCTGCTAAATACTTCTGTAGATAGAACCTATTGTTGTCATATTCAGTGCAAGTTCAACTAGAAAGGTAACATTTGCAAAGCAAATGCATAATGTTTATCTTCGCATATGGTCTGCTCTGTTAATACTTACTCAAACACATTCATATATACATAGTCAGACAGGAGTCTAAATGCCCCCTGTTATGAAATTGCAACATGATGTAACCCAACACTAGTTACCATGGCAACAGACACAACATTGGTTCAGGTCAGAGGTCACTGTTTGGAGAAGAAGAGGAAGAAGAAACTGAGTAAAAACAATGTTTTCCTTCTGAATCAGTAAATGTAATGATTCCCCAGGTAAATACAGATAGAATATACTGTAGATAATATAGAAAGTAGTGTGAAGAGTATAAGGATGCGTACTGGTACCCATCATACGTCTGTCACTGTCAATAGCAGTCTAATGCTTCAAAAATATTTTAGGTAAAGAGGTAAAAAATAACAAACATTTAAAATATTGACCATAATTGTTATGTGGTATGCTGCACTTATTAAAGAGCCACTATATGTAAAGGGTTATAATGGAATTACTTTGAAAGTGCCAAAGTCAAGTTTGCAAGTTCTGCATATTAGTTTTAGTACAGGTACGGTGCTAAGGTCATTGTAGGTCATTGACCCCTGGCTGAGCTGGGAGTTTTTCCTAATGCAATGTTTACGTATACCTGCCCTTGCTTTTGAATGTTTCAAAAATAATTTCAAATATTTTAAACTGTAATATATGGTTGAGGAGTAAAGATCAATTAATATCTTAAGATGTGACAAGAAGTTATAGCTTGTCTTAAGGTACCCAAATCTGGTGTTTCGGGTCTTTGGCTGCCAAGTTACTTTGTCACTGCGAATAAATCAGATGAATGGTAAGAAAGAAAAGTCTGATGCTCTATTATTTTTTTGTTTTGTTCATTAAGAGGGACACGGGAGGGGGTAAGAGAAGCTTTATTTTTCATTCCAAAGAATGTTTTTCTCCGAAAACAATATCTAAATGTTAACCCGTGCCTGATGACAACTTTTCTGAAAGCTCAGTATCCCAATTGGTTGGAATCTATTAAAATTAGGATCTCAGGTTTTGCTATTATTTTATCACCGTTGTAGATGAAAGGTTACCATTGGGTATAATGGTGAAACGTTTCTTTATCCATGAGTGGATAACCTCCATGGATATCTGTTGCAAGCGCACTTCTTGAATTGGCAATAAAAATGTCCCTCAAATCTGCTTTAACAGCAATTTGCCACTTTGCGCAAGAGGCCCTCTCTCGCCGATAGCGACTAACCGCAGTAGCTTGGATCCCAGCCTTGTTAGCTTTGGTCCACTCCCTAAGATCCGTTGGCGTGGTAGCGGATCTTGGGAGCGGACCAAAGTTATTACAAGGCTGGGCTCCAGGCTAAGACCGCAGTACTCAGGAAAAAAACGTACACGTCCGACGTTCGTTCGGATGCCGAAACTTTCCAACCTAATCCTGTCAGTAATAAACAAGCTTTTATCACAAATCCTTTTATATCAAGTAAGACAAACGAAAGTTACTTGATAATCAACACAAACATACGTTTGTTTGTTTGTTTGTTTGTTTTTAGTAAACCCATTTCTAAAACTGGACTATTTTACTTCACGCGGAGTAAATGCGGAAGGATACCTGAAGTTACACGCCCGTAAGACAGTTAAGTACACCTGTACATGACGCCGTGACGTATCATTTTGTCACTGCGCTGTTCAGAGTGCCTTTGGGGTAAATCAGTCGGAGACGTTCTCGTGTCTTTAATCAAAAACTTTATGACTGTTGACGGAGAGTCAAAACGTCGAGACCAGCTACGGATCGAACATTAAGCCGTGCGTAGGACCATCGGCAAGACGACCTTGAACTCGGACCGTGAACTCTGCGGACGCCAGGTCAGCGGTAAAGCAGTTAAGGTATGTGGTCTTCAGTCGGTCTTACGTACTTCTTCGTAGAGTGAATCTCGCTCGTGTGTCTAATATTATTCAGAGTTCCTGAGAGTGTTGAAAATGCAAGTACGTCCGTGAATCTTCTATTTGGAACAAACAGACTGTCGAACAAGGAAGTGTTGACATTCTGTATATCAGTCATCACGCGCCCGTCACTCAGGTGGTGCACGGAACAGTTACCTGGTTATGGTTAACCACCAGTGGTTAACATGGTTAATGTGATCAGGTGGCTGGAGGGAGAGAGTTCTGCAAGCCCGATATGATGATAATGATGATGACGTTGATCAGATAAGGACTAATCTCGGAGAAAAACTGACTTAAAATATAGCCAGGGTCCAGCCAGAAACTGCCACACTAGTACTGCTTGCATGGGGGTAATTCCGCGGCCAGGGGATCATAACAAGTTTGTAACTCACACCTGCCCCACCTGAATTATCCTGGCTCAGGTAAGACCTTCTCAGGTTGCAGCCTGTATGTAAATGAGGCGAAACTAAGACAACCTTCAGACGTCAAAACACCAGTCCTGACACAAAGGTCTCCTGGACTACGTCTTGGCCTTTGACTTACACACTCGGTGGTGGGTACTTACGAAAACAGTTCTTTTGAAAACCAGACGTCGCTTCGACAAAGCACGGTGGTGTTCATGACAGTATCTAGTATCAGGGTTCGCGCCACAGCGCGGGGGCACCAAAACATATAGCTGTACTTTCAGGACTAGATTTGCAAATACTGTAGGTGTGTTCTTGATAATTATAGATTCACGGATCTGACTTGTAATTGTGGCTAGTATACATGTGATAAAGCTTTACTTTTGTTGTCATAATAACCAACAATATACAGAGGACAAGCAAATATAAGGCGTGCTAGAGGGGTAAATGTCAATACTACTTATGACAGTCCCTACACTTTTGCGCCTAAAGCTAATTGTTATGTCACATCTCCCGTAGCAGCTTTTTCAGCTACAATGTACATGTATTTATCTGTCATCTGTTCTTCTGTAGGCCTGGAACCATCAAGCGCGCCGGTTGAACTACATGTAAGTCCGTGAGCCCAAGCGACCATGGGAAAGTCACAATCAAAACAATCTAATGAGTAAGTTGATATTCATTGTGTACGTACCCTCTAGACATCTCATTCTGGACAACTGTGTGCGTATGTGCACTACAATGTAACTGACAGTCACCCGAACAGAGGGGGGGGGGAGGTTAATACATTAACACTACACCTGGCTTAGGTAACCCTGGATTCCTAAATTACGGCCTCCACTGCTCGCGTTTCCCTCATGTTGTGTTCATTGATCATTCATTATTTTCAGGCAGTCACAGGCATTGCATATTTCAACGCCTGATTCCATATTTCCAGTAGATATGCACGTTGTAACATAATCATATCTCGGGTGTGTTTCTACAGAGCAGTCGACAGGACAAACATCGATGACGCCTGCACCGCCTGGGCACAGAAAAAGTACGGTTCAAGGTGCAAAGTTGTGTCGGTCGACACCAAGGATTTCAAAGTCAGTGAGGAAAACACCCACTACAGAGAGAGCGGCAAAAAAGAACGCAGCTCAGTTACACGTAGGCGCAAGACATTTCCCAACAAAACGAGTACCTCTATTCCTCGAGAAATCAAAGACCAAAGCGCTACAAAATACTCCTGTGGCTGGACTAGAACGAAAGGGTATCAGGTTTCTGGAGACCTGTCTGTTAATGTTGGACTACCTGCAGCGGTGGGTTTGAAACTAGGGGGGAAGTTGCAGCATATGCGCTCTAACACAAGGACAGAGATATCAGGCATAGATAAAACCTCTGAACAGGTGACGAAGTTTGAGCAGCCTCCCTGGTCAACATGGCTCACCGAAACAGTCACAACACAGAAGGTCGTCAAAATGCCTTATACACAAGTCCTCCGCCTGGAGGGGACACTTTCAATCACTCTGCAGAGGGCAAATAGGAAGACAAAAACCGAATTAGTGGACGTGGTTGACCTCTACCCGGGAGAAAAGGTTGAGACGGACGCAGGAGGAAAGAGGAGCGTCAGACTCACTAATGAAGGGATGTTTGAAGCCACTACAGAAATGGACGAAGAAGTCACAGTAGAAGAACCAGGTTAGTACTCTGTCAGGGCTCGAACTGGGTGCAAGTGCACCCAAATGTGGAGCAGTGCACCCATTTTTTTTGTGGGTGCACTTTTTATAGGCTCCTATGTTAATATGTAAAATGTATAATAGTATACAGCATATTCTTAACATCTATGTGACAGAAAAAATAATAAATCATTGTTGTAGTACTTTCCGTTAGAAAAGATTAGAAACATGAAATTAATTTTTCTGACATTTATTTACTACTATTCTTTTTATATGATGCATCCAAAATGTTTTTGTGCACCAAATATTTTAGATTGGGTGCACCTATTCACAAGAATGAATTTTGAACCTTGTTGTGTTGTTATTTAAATCACTAGTATTGCAATAGCCTGATTCAAGTTATTGTTTCGGTAACGTTGATTTCCTAATTAAAATTAAAGAAAAGAAATTTCGATTTTCAGGTCCCGACGAGTTGATGATGCTGAAGCACAACGATCTGCTGAGGAACAACAGGGAGAAGATTGTGGAAGAGGTGAAGGACCAGCGCGCCCTCTCCGAGCTGCTGGAGGTAATGTCTTCACAAAAAGTTGTTTCAGAGGAACAGGTTCAAACTATATCTCAGAGTCAATCTGTTAAAGAAGGCGTGGATAAGCTTGTAGGTGTGTTAGAAAAGGCAGAGCCTGAGAAATTCTTAGTATTTTTAGACATTCTCCAGAGAGAGGGGTACAGTGAACTTGTAGAGTTGCTAGATCCTAGGGGGATGTATCCTGATAGTGTTAGGCACATATCAAACCTTAGTGGTGTGGTGGATCACTATTTTGTCACCAAGAAAGTAAGTGAGGTCAAGGATAGCCTAGAGTCAGGCAGGGGAGTCATCCTTCACGGCATGCCTGGGTCAGGGAAAACAGAAATGGCATATAAAGTGGCCGGTGATTATGCAAGAGTTCACCCTCATTCGGTAGTTTGGGTGATAGATGGAAGTTCAGAAGAGAAGATCAATGAAGGGATGGCAAACCTAAAACAGAGGTTGAGTGGGGATACCAATGTTGATAACAACATGTTTCAAAGCCTTTTGTCTCGCTGGAAGCATTTTGTCCTCCTCATAAATGACCTGTCCCCAACAGTCGCAATCCCGATAGAAATATTGAGCTCCTCTGCAAAAATGGTCATCACAACACAAGATTCGCTCATAGAATTTGGAGATGTTGCAAAAATCCCAATAGATGGATTCATGGAAAAGGAAGCAGTCGAGTTCCTATCCCCAAAGATGCCACCGGGAACTACTGAAGAACAGATGAGGGATCTCGCCAACCTCTTCAGCTGTTTGCCTCTCGGGCTAGCAGCAGCCCGAGCCTCCATCCATCGGGGTAAGATGACAGTGGAAGAGTACAAGCAGCAGCTACATGGTAGAAGAGAAGTTCTAGAGGAAGTAATGAGCAGAGAGGACAACTGGCTTCAGATGCACTACAGGAAGGAACATCAAGAAGCAGCCAGGAACATCTTTGCAGCCCTACAACTGGTTATAGACAAGTTGGATGATCAGTGTAAGTCAGGAGAGGAGAGAAAGTGCATGATCATGCTGCAGCCATGTGCCTTTTTGGACTCCAACAACATTCCGGTTCTGATGCTGAAAAGTGCTTTGGAAAGTCCAACGATAGGCGCTGATGCATACTTCACGGAAAGGATGAGGATGTACTCTCTTGGCAACACTGAGGGTGCAGGAGTCAAACGTCGTTTGTCCATCCACAGTGTCACACAAATGGCCCTCCGTCTCCATATGGAGCAAGAACAACAAAGAACATGCATCAACAAACTTCTGCAAATACTTGTCAAGTTCTTTGTGAAGGATTTGACGTATTCAGAGACTCATAAATTCAGCTTGGAGCTGATGCCACACGTGGAGGCTGCTCTGAAGCATGCGGATAAGCTGAAGCTGAAACTGGGTGCTGAATATCCCCTGATGAAGGCCAGGCTCCTGATGGTGTACGGACATCTGCTCATACAGAAGGGAACTCCAGACTTGTCTAGGAAATACCTGGAAGAAGCCAAGGAAAGTTTGCTGCAGTTTGCAGACATACTTTCTGCGGAAAGTGTGGAAAGAAATCCAGATTACCACACCACTTCAAAAGAGCTGTACCAGTCACTTGCCGATAAGAGCAAATCCTTGGAAGATGGCTTCTTTAAAGAAACGGTGATAAGACGGACCATCACTAAGCAAAACCTCAGAGCTGTACGTGACAAACTTGGCGCCGAGCACAGCACAACTCGCAAATTGGAAAACATGGTGGGGAATTTTGAGCCCCTCACCAAGGAGATGTACAACATGCTAGTCAAGAGCGACTTGGCTATTCCTGTAGAGAAACTTAAGAGGATATTCCTCCCAGAGCTGTATATTTCCATACTGTTCACACTCAGTAAAGCTATTTTAGACTTGACATTACATTATTCTGATCGTCCTTCTACCGACTGGCGTATTACTCTCGCTCACGATATGTGCACTGAAGTCACCAATGACACAGGAGGTCTTGTTATGGCCCGTTTACGTTTCCTGGCAGACTTTGTCTCGCTGAGCCGATTAAGGGTGACTCACATGGTAATAATACCATACTGTGTGGAGGGAAATCTATTCGATGCTGTGGAGTTACTGATTTTGCATGAAACGAAGGGAAAAGATGCAGCATTCCGGTCTTATGACTTTGGGCTACTGACAGGTGTTAGTGATACGCTCCTTACGTTGAACTACTATGAAAACGTTATGCTGTGTTGTATAAAGGCTGTTAATAATAAGTTCACAGAGAAGAATAAGAAACGCAAACTCATCTCATTTGGACATGACACGTGCAAAACGATGTTGGACCTTGTTGAGAGCGAAAGCCAAGCTGGCAACCCACCCCACAAGCGAGCAGAATATTACACGACAGCTGGACTGTTCAGTGCAGAGGTTGGGGAACTAGAGAAGGCAGCCGAGATGTTCTGGAAAGCCTACAGAGTGGAGCTGAAGAGGGAGGAGTACCATCCACGCATGGCAGATGCACTGTCAGGTCTGACTCAAGTCCGCATGAAACAGAGCAAGCTGAGAAATGCGAGAGTCTGCATACGACGACTTCTGCAGCTGGCAAAGCACCGCTGGCCAGAGCGAGTACTTGATGCTGAAGTAGCCCTCAGGATGGTCCGCTGCAGGATAGCCTTCCAGGCCTGGAAAGAAAACATGAAAAAGGGAAAAGCCGTCTCTGAAAACTTCACTACAGTTATCTGCTTGTCTTGAGCATGGATGGAAACGAACGTGAAAACAAACAAGGCAATTAAGGATGGCAGACATTGCATGCCTATAAACACATACTACTTTGCAACAAACAAGTCCCGTATACAGAAATGGAGCAGAGGCCAGGAGAGACCCGATACACACACACACACGCACACACGCACATACACACACACACCGTAGATATGTACACACATACAAACACACAGACACACACACACAGAGAGACATACAAACACACACGCAGATATGTACGGCACACACATGTACACACAGACACACACATACATACACACACTGTAACACACACACATTCACACACACACACACACACACACACACACAATAAAAAAACATCCAACACAAACAAATGCCAATGCACAAACTAACAAGCAAACCCAAAACAATGTCCATGTAGTAAAGATGTAAAGATGGCTGGCATCTTGGGAGAACAAACACATCAAAATTAGCATGTAACAAACCAATCACTCTTCTTTCTTGGTGACAGAAGGTGACAAAGTTCAGTCAAGTGTAACATTACATGCAAAATGTATGTTAGTAGGGCTTCAGATAGGATTCCAAGTTGAATGAGATGTAATCTGATGATTCCAAGGCCATTCCATTATTGTTATTATTTTGTATCATTGAGAAACTGTACCCTAGAGCTAGTACCCTTACATGTACATGTACATGTAGCTACCACTATTAGGAAAGATATGAACAATCCAATGTCATGCTATTTTCTTGTATAATAAAATCCAACAAACTCATACCTGTACCCTGATACCATCCCCAGCTTCTAGCAGTCCTACGACTGGTCAGGCAGTGCAGAGCTCCATAGAAACATTTCTATCTCAGAGGTGCAACTTGCAGTTGTGTAGGGCTGGTAGTAAAGGACCTGTGTGGGATGGTAGTGAGGTAACAAGTCAGTCATGTCAAATTATTCCCCTGTATGCTGGTAAAAGACCAAATGCTGTTACAGATTACTGTATTTTGTGATAATGAATAAATTGGTGAAAATGGGACTTTATCGTCTATTTCTCATCATTCTGTGTCTGCTCTTTTGTGATTAGTTCTAAAATGTAGGTCTTTATTTGCATGAAAGTGAAGAAAATACATGTATAACTTGCCTTAGAACTATGTTCCAAATCCAGTAAATCCTCCTATGTATTTTCCCTTGGATTGGACCAGAGTTGATAATGAATGAGAGTGGACTTCTACAAATGTATTATCTTTAAAAACAAATTCACCTTAAATACCAACCTCTCAAAATTGCCTCATCCAAATCTTTCCTGGTATAGTAATGCCCAACATGCCTGATATAATACATGATGTAACACAAATCAAGTAAAGTTGTGCTTGAGCTTGCTGAAATAATGATGATGGAGGCCAGTTATAAACAGTACATACATCTTGTATTTATTCTTCTCTGTAATGTTTGCATACCAACTCAACATAAAGTACCAACTACACAATCATCAATAAAGTACAAAATCATTACATACTCCCATCTCTGTTGTTACATCAAAACTGTTACATGTAATTCTTGACAAAGTCTGAAAAAAAAATTAGGACTGAACCGAGTCGTCATTACACCTGGTAACCTACATTTGCACATTGTGATTCCAACACAAGTTGATTCTCCTGACTACAGATAGAAAGACTAAAAAGCTCTGGATATTTTTTCACCGCTCCCTCCCTACCTTTGGTCAGTTTTTGTTTTCTTACATGTACATACAATCGCTCCAAAAACTACTCTGAAATATATACATCTGTGGTTCATGGGAGCATACATACATACATACTGGTCTGTATCAAAGTCTTAATAAGTCTTATGTATCTTAACTATTTTTCTTCTCATTGTCACTTAGGGTGCCTCTTTCACGTTACAGCTAACAGTGAGTGTTCTACAGTAGTTTGTGTGTGGAAACAATGATGGGGAGACTGTAGCACAATTTTGCAAAAATTGGGTCAATCATATATTCATTGGTCAGGGCATTGAGCATACAGAAACATTTCTCCACAGAAACTGCACATGCAAATTACACTCCAGGGTGGCCAAACTCTCCCTGCAAATTATACTCCCTGTTAGTTGACACATTTTTTCACCCTGGCCATGAAAAAAATCTTTTTTATTCTATTCCTACATTTTGGAAGTGATACCCCGGGTGCCAAAGGCTTACTATACTCCTTAGGCACAAAGTTTGTGGTCACACACATGTACATCTGATTTTCCTTCTCTTGATAACAGATTGTTCTCACCTTAAGCTAGAAAATCTACAGCTGTACAACAGACTACTGGGGGGGAAACAGAAGACAAAGGCTTGCAAATATAACAGATACTTCCTGAAACATCCAACTCCTCAGAATTTATCCAATTGCTTGATTTACAAGTATTTTCTATTTGTTTGTTTGTTTGTTTGACCGTTCTTAACAAATCGGGGCAAATGGCAAGAAAAGTACAGAATGTTTAAAGCTGCATCATTGTGCTTTTTATACCTTCAGTTCAATTTCTTGACACAACGCATTGATATATTCCTTCATCGCCCCTCCAAATCTACATCTGTACATTTCACAAAAAAGGATATTTCCTCACATACTTATAGACGGAATGGCCTGGTTGTGGCATCAGAGGGCTAACATAACCTTCAGCCTGCTAAGGTAGCCTTTCTGCACCAAGTTTGTGTTGATTACCAGGCTAGGCAGCAGGGAGAAGGTTAAGAATTAACAAAGACAGTTACACATTTCGACACTCCTGACAGACACTCAAAGCTTACGAACAATGAGGTATGGTGTCTTGTGCTGACTAAACTTCAACAGAACACTTTTCTTCAGAGTTTCCCCTTTGCACTTGATTCTTCCTGGTTACATGTCAGAAAAACTTTCAACATTTTGGTCATTTGTAGGACTCAAACCTATCATAATCTGACTATGCTAGCTTGCGGTATGGCTCAAAAGAATAAAATGTGAAAAATCACTGAGATCAACAATGATAGTAGGGCAGCCTGGACTCAAAAGGCCAGTTGTTTGCTAACCTTACTTGCTGAAAAAATGCAAGCATGAAAAGTTTCTGTTTGAAAAATTTGGATCACATAAACTTGATTCATGTATGACATAAGATGGGAGAAATAGAACTTGCCTTTCCGTACCTTTCATGACTTAGCATACCAATGAGCCTGCTGTGACTTCTTAACCCCCAAGCATAACCACGCAAAGAGATTTTGCTTTCAGGAGACAAGCAAGGCAAAAATCAATGCAAGCAAAGATGTCATCCATAAAATCCAGTCTGTGTAACCCTATAACTGAGAGACCACACCTGGCTGAATCCCAACAAAATGAAGAACAATCAAGTTGATGAAAGGACTGCTGTATGCCATGGCTCTGTACAATTTTTCTTAGGACAATAATCTTCACCTCTAGTGTATATAAACAGGGTTGGGGAGAACCTAGCTGGAATTCTGTACAGTCTCCTCTAACTGTCCTTCCTCTACATCGTTGTCGTGGTGCGTGTTTCGCTTGTCGTCCCCCCGGCTGTGTTTGTGAGAGGAGTGCTCCTTGCTTCGTGAGCGGCTCCGTTTCCTGTCCCTGTGTCTCTCTCTCGACTCCCGGTCTTTCCTCGGCTTCTTCCCCTCCTTCTCCTTCCGTGAGGAAATGTCTCTGTACTCCGCCGAGCGCCCGCCGCTGCCGTCCTTGTGCCTGGAGCCGGCGCGGTCGTGGCTGCGTGACCGGTGCCTCCTCTCCCTGCTGCGCCGGTCTGCGTCGCGCCGGCCGCCGTCCCGGTCCTGGCTGCGGGAATGCTTCTTGTCTCGGCTGCGTGACCGCCTCCTGTCCCTGTTGCTGCGCTCCCTGCTTCGCGACCGCCGTCTGTCCCTCCGGCTGTCCCTGCCCTTGCTCGGTGAGTGTTTCTCCTGGCTCTTGCTGCGTTTTTTCTCCCTGCTGCGGCTTCGCTGCCGCGGTCGGTCGGAGCTGCGGCTGCGCGGGCGTTCCTTCTCGCGGCGCTGGCGGTCTCTCTCGCGGTCCAGGTCACGCTCGAAGTCTGTTCTTCTCTTCTGTGCTGGGCTGGACGTGCGGGAGGCCGGCTTCGGCGCATCCCTGCTGGAAGATCTGAAAGAAACAAGTCATTTTATCTTAGCTTTAAAAGTTCATCTGTGTTTGATGAAGTTTTTTTTTTTACATTTTACATGTACTGGATTATAAACTGTTGATTTCTTTGTTTATCTGTGATGATATATTACAATATCTTACTGTTATATATAAAAATTTCCTCCTTACAGTTTTCACTATACTTTCATGTCCCATGCATTATTACTCCAAAGAAAATTCTGTAGCAAAAATATTCTGCTGTTTTGAGGCTAACAGAAGAAAAACCTTTGGTAGCTACAACAAAGGTTAAAGATGTCATGACAAAAAAAGGTTGCACAGAAATGTTCTGTTGTTTTGAGGCCTACAAAAGAGCACCTTTAATAGCAACAGAAAGGTTCAAGTTCAAAGGTAAAAGTTCAAAGTTCGGAAGGTGTCATGACCTTTCGCTCACCTGCTCCGCCTTGCCCGTGATCGGCGCTCGGCCTCGCCCCACGATACCTCCTCATCAGGGATGTGTTCCGCAGCCTCCTCCTCCTCCTCGGGGGCGGCGGGGCGTTTCCGTAGCAACGGTCGGGAGGCCAGCTTCCCCTCCAGGTCCTTCTGGATGGGTACCGGGATGCGGGGGAACAGCGTGGAGAACCACTCAATCTTCCCCAGGAAGCTCCGCAGCATCTCTCCTACTGTCATCACACAGCCTGTACCTGCCTTCACATCTAACTCCTATAGTGGGGGGTGGGGAGACAAGGGGGAGACACAAGGGGAAGAGGGGCAAAGGGTTAGCAACAGGTCTACAATATTTCACAATATAAAAGACATAATGTAGATCTTAGAAACAGGTTGGACTTCAGGCAAAGCAATAGGAACCCAGGAATGTTTGCAAGTCATTTATTATTTAGCACTGGTATCTGCACTGGTATCTGCGTGCTAGCTGACACTCCTCCCTTTCGACTGGCTTCACCACTAGAATTTCAAACTTTTAAAATTTCTTTTCAAATTTGTTTGTACCGAAACTCATAGTGTAGATGGCACATCAAATGCATTGATCTGTTCCCGTCTTTTATATTCTTGACACAAGTTTTTAGACTGTCATCTATACAATCCAATTAAGATGGTCATTTATACAAAACACGCTAATGCTTGCTAATGCAACCAGAAAAGCCTTTGAAAAAGAAAAAAAAACTGTTGTATCTGTTGGAGGTAAAACCACACTATGTGTCATGTAGGTGAAAGGTTAACCTCAGAGCGAGGCTCCGCCGGCGCTAGTCCCGCGTGCTCCCGTTACCGGCACCTTGTGGCGTGTTCGCTGCCTACGTTTCACAGAAGCACAGCGTCAGTGTCCGAACAACCCACCAAAAATCAAAAAGCAAGGAGAGGGGAGCAGAAAAATCTCTCATGTTTGTATTTGTGAATAATTTCATCAGTTTGGCAAGACACTGTATAAGGAAGTTCCTCAGTCAATAACCACTGAAACTTTGGATGTAAAAACCCACTGTTTCTTGACTAAAGAACCTTCTTATACAGAATCATGTTTGTAGCATTTTTTATCGAAATGTAAGAAAAAGGAAGGGCGGGGTCTCACTACTCACCATGGCAACTGGAGGACACTGCAGGCTCTGTTTGAATCTTTCCCTCTTTGTGTTAGTCTTCAAGTTTTAAAAGTTCTGATTCAAAAAATAGTGCAAGTTGTACAGGCACTGAATTTGTTCTGCCAGAAAACGGTTACTGCATCGTTCCCAGATACATTTGTCAACTAATTTCAGAAACATAAATCATAGAATTCTGAATCTTTTTGAGTTTGAAGAAGGTCTCTCTTTCCATAATTTTTGAAGTTTCTTCAAAACCCCAACATGCTCCATGACTTCATCTAGTCTGGCTGTAGACAGTAAAACTTTACAAAAAGCTCCACTGTGACTTAAGCTGTTAAAACTACAGACTAAGTTGTGATAGTAGAGAAAGGTGTAAACTTTTACTGAAATCTCCACTGTGACTTAACCTGTTAACAGTACAAACTAAGCTGTGATAGTAGAGAAAGGTGTCGGCCATTACCCGCTGGAACGTACCTCGTCATCATCTATGTATGGCTCGTACCATTCCCACAGGTCCGCGGGGGGTTGGGTGTATCTGGGGGAGGGACAAGCACACACATGGGTTAGAAGTCTCTCAACATATAAGTTGTCACACAAGCTCTCACTTTCTACAATTTGTATGTAAAAAAATGAGAAGAAGTGCATACAGGAAGTTCCAGATGTCTAGGTTGATATCACCCAGAAATCAAAGAATAATGCCTGAAGAAAGATTAAAGAATGCCCTGTTCTTTGTAAGAAGAAAAGTAATATGTCTGCAAAATTTAGGAAATTTCAAGAAGCATGAAGAGTCTTGAAGAGTCATGATCAGGTGATTTAGGAAAGTAAAAAGTCAGTGATCTGACAAAGTTTGCATTTTGTCCTCTTACAACAGTCTACAGAAAGCTAAGACATCTGTCCTGTTCTCAAGACAAATGTCTTACTTCAGTAAGATAAGAAGTCGGTGCACCTACTCACCTGATGTACATGAATCCGAGCCCTCGGATGTAGGGGGAGTCTCCGTGTTGGAGCAGCCCGTTCACCTGTTTCCTCGTCAGCTTCAGGGTGAAGAGTTTGTACAGCAGACAGTAGGCTGTGGACACAATACCTCCTGCCCCCACACCTCGGACCTATACAGGGGGCAGCAGAGACGGGTTAGATATGAAACTGTTCCAGGGTGAAGAGTTTGTACAGAGACGGGTTAGATATGAAACTGTTGCAGAGTGAAGAGTTTGTACAGCAGGCAGTACGCTGTGGACACAATACCTCCTGCTCCCACACCTCGCACCTGTGAGTGTTAAAACACAGGATTGCTATATTTGAAACAATACTACTAAACTCCAACCATGCAATACATTTGCACACGAGGAAGGACGTTTGGTCATTCAGTGGTCAGAGAGTAGACAATGAAAGTGTAATGTCCCCAAGAATTTGGCCAAGAAGTAACAGGCTATCCTTACTCTAAATCTTATAGTTAGACAAGCATGCTTGATCATGATCATGATCAAGGTTTGACTTGAGGCCCAAAACATTCTTGCTGCAATTCTTCATACAACTTTCTACTAAGTTCTAGTCATGGCATGATGCTTAAAACTAAAATCTAGTATTTTTAAAAATCTATGTCCAAACCTCACCCTACTTTCTTTCAGCTTTGTTTCTACAAAAAATCATGCTCAAAACAACATAAACACCTGTGTCATGCAGATGGAAAGTATGGAGTGAAAGTTGTCCATGCAGAGAAGTGAGTAGCAGTACAATAAGACAGGAGGAGGAGCGACATACATGATACTTACCCCCCCGCACATGCCAGTCTGTCCACCCGTGTTCCGGCTGCCCTTCTCCCATGGCTCAAGGTGTTGGACCTGCAAACAACACAATAAAACAAACAATTTATTACAGATCTGATACCTGCTACTATACGGTATACCATCATGATTCAAGGTGCTGGACCTACAGACAAGTTAACACAATAAAACAAACACTTTCTTACAAATCTACCACTGTCATGGGTCTCTTGCATTGGGCTACATTGGCGACCAATGACATGAGAGTGGCTGGTGGAAAGCTCTAGGTGAGAGAACTTTTTTGTGTTGGATCTTAAGTTTTACACATGTTCAACTCTTCTACAGATATGTGCGTGGGAGGGATATTTTAGCAAAATATGAATGGCAGAGTGAACAAAAAAATTAAAAATTGTTAAGGAACAGATGTATAGAATATCATTATTCTGATACTTTCTCTAATGACTGATGTTAGTACTTGCTGATAACTAGTTTATGCATTAGACATGTTGGCAAGCATGAATATATGATTCCAATGACAAAAATCTGACATAACTCCCTTTAGGCAGGAAAAGCCATTACCATTAGTCACATTTAGTGCCCCAAAGATGCACATATATTAATAGCTCATGACATCAGCCCAGACCAGACACCCTGCAGTCTCACCACAAATCACATCAACTGATCAAGGCTTCCATAACCGTTGCCATGGCACCACACGTTACGTAGCCAAGGATGACATCATTCATATTTTCCCAATTATGAAACGTTTATAATTGCATCGTACAAATATTTCAGTGAGAATGCTACTATTTTACTATGAAAATTTTCATCTGCCCTAGAAATTTGGTCATGGAGTAAAACGTTGTGCTGCAAAAACCATGAATATTTTTGACCTAATAATTTTTTTGCACGTGTTTCGACTATAAGTCGCTGAAACCTTAGTAATAGAGCCCTTCGTAATTTCCTTTCCTCTTCTCACTAAATTCCAACAAATATATGGGCAAGCACAGAGGAAAACGGAAAACAAATATACATTTAAGTAAATAATTTTTGTGACCCACATCCAGACACATTCGGTTGTGTTCAGATCAGAACAAAGGAAAATATAAAACAAGATTGTCCACCCACCGACCTTGTAGTAAATCTCGTCTATGACTTCGTGGTACGTCTTGAGCTGGAACAAGTCGTTCTTGAAGTAGGGAGAAGACTGGATGTTGGTGAGGATTAAGGAGTTCAGATTCATGGTTTTATCGTTGCCCCACAAAGGAAGCACGTTGCTTTGAGGCATGGTCGGGTACGTACCGACGACGTCTCGCACTATCCCCGATAAAAAAATTGGCAAAAACTCAAGACTACGCGGTACAATACCGCTAAATTATACTCGGGGCGGTTCTACAGATCCGTAGGGTTGTAGATGCGAGGTTGTTTCAGAAATTAGCCCGAGAAACGCGGCGAAATTTGCCGAAATTTTCACCACAAAAAGTCGTCCGGCATGCAAAAGGAAAATGGCGAGTCGTTCAAAGTCTCGTGTCCTCTCGCAAGTCTCACGATACTTTCTGCTCCGACTAGTCTACTAAATCGGGGTAGGTAATGTAACAAGTAACAAAATAAAACAATTATCAGTTGGCACAAAACTAATAAATTTATGTTTTCATGAATTTAACAACTTAACATCATTTTTTTACTAGCAGATGAGAAATCTAAGAATTCGTCAAATATTTTCTAGAGAAAAATTTATCTAAAAACCTATCTTCCCCCCTATAAAATGTATGTCAATCCATCATATTTCCAAGCCTGTCCACGGTACCAGATATTCTACAATTTCCCCCTATAATTTCTTTGCTTCCTCTTGAACTTCATCAAGAAATAGTACAGACACAGAGGTAAGGTCGTTCGATTTCTCTCTTCTCTTGCCACATGTACTGGTGTTGTCGATACAAGTCTTTCTTCGCGAAAAGGGTGCCCCCCCTCCCCACCATGGACCACCAAAACAAAAAGAAGAAGCTGCTTTCGTTTGGCAAGTTTGTTTAAATATTGGCAGAGGCTATGTAGATGTATCTGTACTCTAACGGTACGTATAGCCGGTATAACCTCCCATCGGTGTAACACACCAGCTTCGCAGGCACGCGGCGCGGCGGCAGCTGGCTACATTACACCGAACAACTTGTTACACCTAACCCATGAACATCTTGACAAGATATGCCTACTTCATAATTTGTAAGTACCATGTCATGTCAATAGCCAATTTCAATGTTTTTCTCTGTTCTCTACAAAAATTGATGATGTTTCCCTTTCCCCAGCCATGCCGTCGTACTGGGGAGAGCTGCCTGGCCAGTCCCAGCCTGCCCGGGGCCCTGGGGACCTCATCCCGGGGGTGGGGGAGATGCGGGCTGTGGAGGTCAAGGAACCCCCCCTTCACCAGCCCTCAGCCGTGCACAAACCCCCCTTCACAGAGTAAGTACTACAGGGGGGTGTTATGGGGGGGAGGGGAAGGAACCCCCCCTGCACCAGCCCTCTGCCGTGCACAAACCCCCCTTCACAGAGTAAGTACTACAGGGGGGTGTTAGGGGGGGGGAGGGGAAGGAACCCCCCCAATCTATCTGGTGATTTATTTTGACATTGAACTACATATACTTGTACTTCACACCCCTCCTACAGACTGCCCCCTGAACAGTGTAACCTGACGATCCACACCATCCAGCTGGCACAACATGTCCGCAGACTCCGCTCCATGTTACAACTGGTCCAGGCACAACAGGCAACGCAGGACGGCACAGTTAGTGCCTTGTTTATATCATAAAGATGTGCAGACATGCTATAATTATATTGAACCCAACAAGCAACACAAGACTTCAGCATAATGCTGAAGTATCCTGAAGTATCTCAGCATAATGCTGAAGTCTTGTGAATGCCATTTGTGTCCTTTGTTATACGGTTAGCCAGCTTTAGCCTCAGATTCTTTCGTCCTCTTCTGTCTCATGCTTTGAGGAGAGAACAAGAACAACAGAGGTCTGAATACCAGGCTAAGCTAGCTACATGTAGCTAGTCACTGCTGGGGAGAGAAAGCCGGAGAGAGA